GCTCCAGCACGGGCTTCCCATGGGCTCCCAGCCTCCTTCAGGCACACCCGGCTGCTCTGCTGTGGCTCCTCCAGGGGCTGCAGGGCAATCTCTGCTCACCCCTGGGCCTGCAGGGCCTGCAGGGGCACAGCTGCCTCACCCAGGGCTGCACCAGGGGCTGCAGGGGAATCTCTGCTCTGGGCCTTGAGCAGCTCCTGCCCCTCCTCCTTCACTGACCTGTGTCTGCAGAGCTGTTCCTCTCTTCCAGCTGCAGTTGTGCAGATTTTTTTCCACCTTTTTAAATACATTATGCCAGAGGTGCTGGCACTGTCGCTGGTGGTTTGGTCTTTACTGGCAGCAGGTCCATCTTGGATCTGTCTGATGTGGGCTCTGTCAGTCATGGGGGAAGCTTCTAGCAGCTTCTCACAGAGCTACTGTGACAGCTACAGCTGGTTTGAAGCTGCACAGATAAGATTGGCCATAACAGAAACTAATTTGGCTAGCTTAGTTCATTAAAAAGTAGAAGTGTGAGAAATGGGTTTGTCCATTACCAAGTCCCTAGATAAGACAATGATAAGTAGGATTTGAACTCAAACAGGGACCCCTGCTAGTGCCAATCCTGAATGCAGACATATCTTTGGCCAGTGAGCTGGGCAGTGTTGGAACCTCGACCAGTTTGTTGTTCAATCACAGGAATTTTGAGCCCCCTATAAAAGGGAGTGTCCATCAATGAGCTTTGTCTGTTGTTGCATGACCTTCAGTTTGTTCAGTTTTGTGCCTGTCTCCAAAAATGTGACCAAATGTGGTGACCTCTGATGTGACACAACAGCTTCTGCTACCCTTGTAGCCCTCCTGCTACCAAAGCCTGGCCATGCAAACCCAGTACAGCTCCTCTTTTAGTGTCAGGCATTTTGGATCCTCTCATGCTGCACTTGGGAAATAAAGGGGAAAGAAAGCATAATTAAGCTTTCCCAAGCCCTGAGAGTACATACATTTTTTATGTGCAAGTGTCTAGCTGAGGAAAAAGATTCCTGAGCCAGATATTCTGTGACATTTTATACATTTTCTGTTCCTTCATCCCACTGGAAAAAAAGCAGTAAATTTTCTGGATGGTCACAATTTCCTCTCCTGGCTTTAATTTCATAGCTTGCATAAGGCAGTTATAGCAAATGTCATGTACCTAAAGAGACTTTTCTTGTGTGTAAATTGTAACTTGTTGTGTAAATTGCAACTTCACAAGATAACAAAGACATTTTTGAATAGCTTGTGATTTAATAAAACAACCAGCTTTAACAAGCAGTCTCACAGAAAAGCAGTAAGTCACATCTTGCTGTTTCCTAGCTGGTGTTTTGAGGTTTCAGTTGAGAATTTTCTGGTTCAAATGACTTTATGCCTGTGGGGGAACTTGCATAGTCCTGTTATGGAATTGCTCTGGGCCTCAGAAACCCATGTGCTCAAGCTGGAGCATCAGAGTACCCCTAGGAATCTTAAAATTATGGAGACCTCCAAGCTCAGGGATGATAAACTATCTAGCAGGCTGAACAGGATATTTTATGAATTTTTCTCATGACCCAGGCCCCTATTTTGACACTTTGGGCAGACTTCTGTACTACTTCTCTTTCCATCAGACTGACCCCATGTTTATTTATTTCATACCATTTGACAAATTCCACTGATATGAGTCTGATAGCATCTAAGGGTTTAGCTTCCATCTATAAGTCCTACATTAAATAATATAATTACCTTTATTTTCTGTATCAGTGCCAGGATCGTTTAGTCAGTCATTAGCTCAGATAAGGGTTGTGTTAAAAATGTTTTCAATTTCGTATTCCTACCAAAATATTTCTGTTTTTCAAATAAGATATGTTCTGATACAGTCACAAGGGCTGATCTAACAGGATGAAATGTCCCTGTTTCAAAATAAAACTTGGTTTGGAGTTCCAGGCTTGGTTAAAGTGATAAGTAGCTTCACCTCAGCTTTTTTCCCCATTTTGTCTGTTTGGCAAAATTCTAATTCTCTTTGTTTGGGATTTCCTCAGTCAATTCTGAGTTCTCACAGAGATGAGGGATTGAGAGAAGAGGCTCACCTCTTTTCTTCCTTGTGAAGTTGGGAAAGATACTGAAGCCTTATCTTCTTCTGACAGGCACGTTAATCACATCCTTCTTAGTCAGGTTAAGCTGGATCCCTCCTGCATGTTAACTCATGGGAATCAGCTGTAAGGTAAACAAATTTAAATTGGGAAGGAAATATGTTCCTTTCTACTTATCTTCATGTTGTTCTGTTTACACTTGATGAATCTGAACTTTTTAATAATATACAGAGGGGAAAAATATCACACGCCCAGATTTCAGGACTTTTACTCAACTTTGCTGATTTGCTTCTTCTTATTGATTATAGATAAGTCACTGGGCCCTTAAGGGAGCTCTGTGGCTTGGGATTCCATTTCATCTTCTATATATTAGGGAATTGATTATTTCTCTGGTCAAGTCAGCAGCAGGTGCAAGATGTGGACACCACATAAAAAAACAGGTTGTAATTTTTCTGGCCAGCTGGTTGTTGATGGCACTTCTGCTAAGATCTTATGTCCTACTAGGAGCAAGGCACTGGCAGAGGGATGCAGCCAGACTAAAGAATGTTGACAGGAGAGCCACATCAAAGTCAGGAGGTCACTGAGAGGGACTTTTTACAAAGATTAGTAGGGATAGGACATAGGGGAATGGCTTTAAACTGACAGAGGGCAGGTTTAGATTAGATATAAGGAAGAAAAAATCTTTACAGGGAGGGTGGTGAGGCACAAGTTGCCCAGAGAAGCAATGGGTGCCCCATCCTTGGTAGTTTTCAACACCAGGTTTGGACAGGACTTTGAGCTTTGTGGTGTAATGGAAGATGTCACTGCCCATGGCAGGGCAGTTGGATGATCCTTAAGACTTCTTCCAGTCCAAAAGATTCTATGATTCTGTGGTTTGAAGAACACAGATTGAGCAAAGCAAGTTTTGCTCTAGAAAGGAAAACTAGGAGCGAGTTAAATGCCAGCTACTCGGTGGAACATTGAAGGAGTGTTTAGCTTGTGTACCCCTGAGTTGGTGGAGGCACGTGGTCATTACTGAGTGCTCACAGATTGGATCTAGTATTTCATGCGTATGCTGGGTTGCAGGAATTTATGTATATTTTGGCCTAAAAGTTACAAGGATTACAGACTTTTTGTTAAAATCTTATCATGATTTAATCGAATTTGCTGAAGTAACTGAACCAGCTGCTTTAATGAGTTCCTTCTGAACAACAAGGGCTCCTATTCATCTCAGTTAAATCTTTTTAGATTTTTGGGTCTGAAATAAGAAAAAAGACTGAACTCAATGCAATTCTACCATTTCAGGAAACATATTTTTTTCCCTGGTGTGTGAGTTTGCTATCTGCTCAGTGTTTAAAATATTAGGTAACTGTTCTATGAAAAAAGTATTAAAATATTGTTTTGGAGGTCATTGGCTGATTCTGATGCAGTTTATTTACAACCCTATAAAAACAGAGCCAAGATCCCTGAGCTCAGCCATAATAAATAATAATGATAGGTATATAAATAAATAATTTTAGATAGTGAATACCAAAAACAGTGCCAGTATAATTTCCTCAGTGGTAGCCTAACCAGCCTTTCTGCAGATGAAAAATGAAATAAATAGTAGAGTTTTAGGTGAAGAAGTAAATACCCTATAATTTCCAGAGGGTCTTCATAAAATACATATAGAATGAAAAACAGTAAAAATTTGTGGGTTAGGTCTACTTTTACATCAGTTAGCACAATCAGGAAAAACAGGAAAGCTTTCATACTTAGAATGCATTTGCAAGTATGAAAATTTGTGTGGGTTTTTTTTTTTTTCATTTTATTTTGACCTAGTAAGGGAGTTATTTTTCTTTAAAAACTGATTCTGAGTTATAGATTTACAGCATCATAATTATGGCAGGAGTATGTCAGCACTGTCTGCTTCTTGTTTGGTGATTTCTGGAATGAGATTGCTTGTTTTGTCAACACACAGCGATGAAAAGGTACAGATACCAAGTTTCTGTTTGACATTTTTCATTAGGAACAATGCAAAAGCTGAAATGGCTTTCTGTAAAATCTATCTGAGCAGGTAACAGAGTACCTGGAATTGTAGGATTCTCCTTGTCATAAACATATTGTGCTTTGTGTAGAAAAGTGCTACACTGAGAAAGTAGGCAAGGTGAAGCAAAATTTAGAGCACTAAAGTAATCACTTTAATCACACTGCCATAAAAGGAATTCTGCAGACAGAATTAAAATCACTTGTATTGTTTACCATGACAGGTCTTATCAAGGCAGCTGGTGGGAGTTATGGCTGGCAGCTTTCAGAGCGGGGCTAAGGGTTGGTGAGGATTACAACCTTTATGTTCTTGCCTGAAGAACTTTTTTAGCTCCACCTCCGCTGATATTCTTGAACACAATTCACATCAGCTGGAATTCCACCAGTTGTGTAACCATGGTCCATGTGTGTGCTCTGGGTCTCACCACTGTGGCACTTGGTGAAGTTTTTGTTTGAGAAGTCAGAAGCTCACATTGGTGACAGACCTGAGATGCCACTTTAGCTCTGCTGACAAGAGGGGGAAAAAAGCCTTCATTAAGGTTTTCAATTTCCTTTACTGTTCTGGTTTTGGGTTTTTTTTTTTTATTTGTTTTTTGTTCCCAGTTCTGCAGTGTTTCTGTTTACACAAGTGAGATTCACAGTACCAAAGCTCAGGCTTTGTGGGATTCAGTTCTTAATCTGGAAGAACTTTGAGGGGAAGAGTTGCAGTCACCTTTGTGCACTGTGTGGTGTTGTGTATGTTGGTAATGAGAGCAAATTTTCCTCCATCAAAAGGATTAATCCTTTTGTTGGAAATTAATTAGTTTATTTGCATTATTGGAAGATTGCATTTCTCTCATACCAAACATTTCTTCAAACACAGTCCTTTCCATGGCACAAACAAAGGCAGCAAAGGAGGAAAAGAAAAATAAATCCATCAACCAGGATGTGGAATGCTTATAGTTACCCTGCACCCCTCTGAGACCAAGGCAGCAGCTTCTGTCAACTCTGTCAGGCACAGGATAAAACTCACTCACCATTAGCACCTCTGCAGCACAAAGTTTTAAAATTATTAAATAATGGTGCCTTGAAGTCACTGCTGACTGGTGGGTTTAAGGCCCACTGCTTTTCTCAGCAAAGCTTTTCAGGTTGCTGAGCATGAATAAGTTGCTTTAATGCTGGATGAGACTGGGGTCTTTGAATAGACCAAAACCTGAAGACAAGTGTTGTGTTGGTGTCCTTCATTAATAAGGTAGTGGATGATTTTTAATTCAGGCAGATAGTTCTGGTTCTGCTGCAGAGTTTTCAGAGAGCGTTACAAAGCCAGGGATTATGTCAGTCCTTGCTTTGACCCTAATTTCAGCTCTAACTCGTCTTTCATGCATACAATTTATTTATCAGACTTGTGTCCTTTGTCTCTCTGATGTCTCAGCTTTAAGATTTCCCATTCACAAAGGCCAGTGTCTATGAGGCAGGGAGGTTGGTGTTTGGCTCTTCTTGCTCCGTAGATATAATAGATTAAGGCCCTGATCAATCACAGAAAATCTTGTTTCAGATGCCACTTGTTGCTCTTGCTACAGCTTTTCTCTTCCCTGTTGCTTCTGTGGGACATCTGTCTGAAAACAGCCTGAGTCTGTCAGACTTGCAATATCATCCCTATTTCATAAGTTGTCACGCAGGAAAAAAAAAGTTTGAAATTATTTATTAAGTGCCAACAGGTAGATGAAAATGATGAATGACACGTAAGATCAGAAGCAGCCAGCTGACTGCTCTCTCAGAGAGGCTGACAGCAGTGATGGAAAGTTTAAATTACCTCTGAAATTACTCAGTAACCAGCTGATGGAAAACTTTCCTGTCAGTCTCCTTGGATCCCACCCCTTCTCTAGTGGCAGCTAGATTTCCTGGTTTCCCCTCCCTTTCTCCATCACAGCTGGTGGCCTCATTGCAGCCTCTCTCAGCAGTGACAGAGAGCGCATATAGGTGTGAGGGGACCAGCCTGCAGCTGCTTCCCACAAATCCTCAAGTGCTGTTTATCAGGCCTGTGTTACCCTGATTCTGCTCAGTTCTTCCAGTTCTGTCAGTTCTGGCAGATGGCAGGGAAAGTGAGCAAATGTCTCAGCAAAGACCCTGTGCACTGCACTTCAGTGTCCTGCTGGCATGTTGTCTGAGTGAGTGTTCTGTTTTCCTTTCAGCAAACCCCTGTGAGCTCCACTGCCGCCCAGTAGATGGCCATTTTTCAGAGAAGATGCTTGATGCAGTCACTGATGGCACTCCTTGCTTTGAGGGAAGGCACAGCCGAGATATCTGTATTAATGGCATGTGTAAGGTATTGGGTATGTTTGCATGTTTCTTTCTCTTCAATTTAATTTTATGGGAAAATGCTTAACCTTTTTTTTTTTTTGTAGGATCAAGGCCAAATACTCAATTCCATCACATTTTTATAAAAAGTTTATAGTAAAAGCTTTCCATGTATACATAAGAATAATTTCCACCTATTTTAAAAGTCTGTTTGACCGACTGCTGATTACTTTTGGTGCCTTTTAAATCCTCAGTTTTTTTCCCACTATTTTAAAACAAAAATTCAAGAAAAGCTGGTTTTGATTAGAAGTTTTCACAAAGTGTAGCTTTAGGGTTGTAACTGGTGTCACCACTGTCCGTGGGGTTTTTTATGAAAATGTGGTTTAACTATACACGTTCAGCTGTTCTGAGCTGACTTTGCAGCTGAGGGCAGTAAAAATTATTTTGGTTTACAATGTTGAATTGAATAATGTTCTACGGTGAGATAATGGGCAGACACAGTGTATATGGCTCAATAATATTGTGCATTGAAGAATAAGTATAATGATGGCTGCCTATTCTTTGTGTTGGTAGCAGATTTCCAGGATGATGTGTGTGTCTGTATGGCATTTGAAGGAGTGTTCTGTAAATCCTGTAGCCCCCACAATCTTAGCATTGCTTTTAGTCACTTTCTTATAAATAAAATGAGTGCTTTTCTTGTAGAGGATATATTTACATCTGTGGTTTATTTCTTCAGACTGGGGGTTTGTTCTGTACCTCCTTGAAGCCTAATAGCTTTTTTGCTTTTAGCATCTTTGGAAGCAAGAATGTGGCTTGTGGAAACTGCATTTGCTTATCTGGTATGAGAGTTGTATGCCCCAAGCCACTTAATTGTATACAAATGCAGCTGGAAGGGACTTCAAGAAGTTGTCTATTTCATCCCTTTAAAAATTATATTACTTTTTTGACATTTTTCACATTCTTTTCTTAAAGATTTCTAGTGATGGAAAATTCACATTTTTAATAGATGTTGGTACACCCTCTTTTTAAACTTCTTATTTTGTTAGAATGACAGTGCATCAGAGACAAGTAATAAAAGATGTGTTTTAATCTTTCCTTGCAATGCTTGCATTTATGAAAGGTTACCAAGACCTTGATCAAGCTCACAGTGAAGAGAAGCTGCTTAACTTTGCTGAGGGCCAGAAGGGGCCCTTGAACTATGATTGCTTTGAATGGTTCAAGCCAGAATGAATAAAATCTTTAGCATATTGAAACATACAGTAGATATTGCATACCACAGCAGGGCTTTTGACCTTCACTTGGGAGAGACCAGTTACCAAACTCAGAAAGGCTGTCCTTGTGAGGACATTCTTTGATTCCATTCTTTGATTCCTGATTCATTCTCTGATTTCCAGCCCAGTTGGACTGGGGTCACTGCGATTAATTTTAGTTTCCATATGCTTTCTGTATTGAAACCTTGCCTGTGGCAGTTCAAATTTATACCTGTTTTAGAGATAGCAAGACTCAATTAATCCAAACTGGGAGATCAGAGGTGAAAGAGAAGCTAATCTAACTGCAGTTTGTAGAGCCCAGATACTCTTCAGTATTAACAATTCTGTGGACCCAAAGTGTTTCTGAGAAATTCCCTCCAAGGTGCTATATCAGCGTTGCACATGGTGACTGCTGCTTCACATCTCGTGGCAAACAGATTCATTTGGAGTCAGGATCACAGAATGAACAATACAGCCATGCAAAATGAGACCAAATGATGAATAGGTAACACAAATAGCTCACAGTATTGAAGGGTAGGATGCTTTCATCTGAAATAGGTACCCGGCACAAAACCTGAGGAGAAGCTTTTTCCTATATCTTCATCTAATTTGCTGGTGTTTGATTCCAGCTAGCTAAACACAATAGATACATTACAGGTCCTGAAGAATAAATCTGGAAATGGATTTAGTATAATTAGTCTGGCACATCATTGTTGCAGTTTGATTGCAACATGTTGCTAATTATGTGGAAAAGACATTCACAAGTGTTAAAGCACTATTCTGGTTTTCAGAATTGTATCTCACAAGAGCACTTCACATTTGTCCTGAGTACTAAAATAACACTTCACTTTGGTCTGAAATTGAGAAAAATATTAAATTAATAAGATATTAGATCCACTGTCTAAATTGCTCACTTGTGATTGGCATGTGGAGTAGCTATTTTTTATCAAGTGAGTTCAGAGTTTTCCTACTGAGTATGTCAAAACAAGATAGATAGATCCAAAAAATAATTTCATCTTCTAAATTAATCTGATTTTAGTCTGATTTTGCAGTTTGTCATGAATTTGTTCAGAGCTATCAGAGAAACTAGTCTTTCTTTAATGGCTAAATGTGGATTGAGATGCTTCATTTTAGCCATGAGAGGTGTACTGGGTCCTTTCCTAGCTGGCCTGACAAAGCCACAATGTGCATCTTCAAGGGAGAAGTAAGTACAGACAGACTACTGATTCACTTGGTCCTTTTAATTTATCCTGTATCTCCTATTTTTTTGGGAGTGCTGCCCATGCATCAGTGCTGAAGGAAGGGTTACAGGGAGGTGTTGTTTGCATGGTATTCCTTTAGAACTTGTGGAATCAAAGACAAGTTAAAATTGTTAACTCGTTTGCAGGCCTGGCCTATAAAGTAGCTGGGTCCTTTCTCAATGCTGACCTTACACAGAAGAAAAGTTCTGTCAGGAGATCTGATAAGATCTGTCAATAATTTAATCTCAAATCATCAAGCTATTCTATGACTATTTTATTTTTTACTGTATGCCTTAGCACTCATTTTTCAATTGTCGTTTTCCCCCTTTTATTTGAGATCTTTAAAGCACATAGCCTATATTCCTGTGCTTAAATTATACATCACAACTGTATTAATTCTCACAACTCTTATTTCTTATGAGGTGAGTCAGTTGTTCCCCCAGTGTTAATGAGTGAAGATACTGCCACCAGAGTATGGTTGTTTAGCACTGATAATGGGGATTTTTGATTAGGTACAAGCCATCAAATCCTCTAAAAGTGAAGGCTTACATGTTCTTTGCACTGGAGTGTGCAGATGCTGAGGGTGGAGCATCTGGAAACATCTCTGATGTTTCTAACAGTCATTCATCTCCTGCACAGAATTTCAATAGGCCCAAGTGACCTTCAGTCATGCAAATCTGTGGTAATTCACAGTTGTGATTGTGAGAGACTGACATTGTACTGGGGAATTACACAGCTGTGTAGCAGGGAAGGAACCATTATTTTCTCTTTCTGAAAAGTAGATTACACAGCTTGAATTTTTATGCAGCAACTACACCACTTTGAACTACAGTTCACCTTTCTCCTCCCACTGCTGGTCCAACGTGACATTTGATTCAGACCCATATAGATAAATTACAAGATAAATTACTGACATCAGGACACATTTCTCTCTCTTCAAGGCAATGTCATGGCCAACATGAAGTAAACATGACTTCTTTATTTGAAGACTTAGTAGGGGAGACAAGAGGAGGGAAGACCTTAAAGTTCAGTGTAGCATTCACATGATGGATATTCAAGCAGTGCCCTTCAAGGCCATACCCTTCAGTGACAGCAAGGACTTTTTGTATCTGCCCCCCACTGCCAATCTGAGACAAAAGCCTCGCCCTCTGGAAATGGAAAAAGGCCAATCTCTGGCTGTTTTCCCTTTAGTCACCGAGCAGCAGGAAATAAATTGTTTCTCCTTCCTGTAATTCAGCTGGGCAGTTCAGGTCATTGCATCTGCCTCTGCACTGTGTGCTGTGACCAGAAACAAAGCTGATCTCAGATGCATTAGAAAGGGCTCTTGGTGAGTGGGACAATGGCAAAGGGCTGCAGGGAGGGATGCTAAGTTGTGATGCCCATGCCATGGCACACAGTGGTTCCTGTAACACAGCATGGTTCACAGGCAAAGGGTGCACAAGGACAGATGTGGGTAAAAAAAATCAGAGCCTAATTGCTGCTGATATTCTTTCCTGATTTATAACCTGCATTGGTCTCCAGAACCCCTCTAGCAACTGCCTGTCAGAAATTCATCATGGAGTCACAGCATGCTTCAGGTTGGAATGGATCTCAAATATCATCTAGTTCTGGACTGCAAGTGCCCATTAATGGGTCATATTGATCTTCTGGACAGTTTGAGGCATGTTTAGAAAATGCATCCACAAGAGTAAGAAGAATGAGGAAAGCATGTAAAAAGAAGAATGACACATCTTGAAATTATTCTAATGGATGGCAAAAATTATGCGGTATTCACTGGAGTAATAAAGGAAAACATGGTCTGGAAATTAAAGTGTCTGGAGCAAATGAATGCTGTTTATTCTGAGACATGAGAACATTGCTTTGTGATGGTTTTTAATGGCTTTGTAAGATGAGACCCTGCTGTTATATGTGAAGGTCATGGCAGCACCAGCAGCATCCCAGGGCTGAGGAATAAAGCAAAGGCTTTATTTATTTATTATAGCAGAATAAATTGTCTGCCCTGCCTCATTCTTGAGTATTCCAAAACCCCAAGAATGCATAGGAATGTTGCATGTATAGGTAAGGCTCATGTCTGATCAGATACAAACTGTTTCATATATCAGAAGAACACTGAAATACAAACTTCTGCTGCAGTTACTGGAAAGGACAAAGGGATTCCCTTCACATCACAGTAATGCCATATTTTCATGCCATAGATCTGTTGGCAAAGGAAATGGTCAAATGGGAAAGGTGTGAGCTGATGGAGTACAGCCCATGCAGAAGCACAGATTTGCCAATCCCAAAGGCAGGGAAGGGATGATGCTGTGTTGCTGCCATCTCAGTTAGAGCCAGGGCTGCAGCTGTTCTAATCAGAACTAATTAGTTAAACCCTTGGGGGTTTTACGCCCCACAGTACTTGGAAGGGAAATATCTTCAGTGATGTTCATTTCAAAGTATCTGATTGACAGTGTGAAATAGATAAATTAATTCTGTGTGCAGGCTCTCAAACAGGAATGCACAGTAAATAAAGGACAGAAACCTTTTCCAAAACATGAATTTTCTACCAGAAAATGATAATTTGGCAAAAATATACAATTTGAAGACAAGTAATTTTTGGAGAAGTTCAAAATGCAAGCTCCCAGCAGTCATTAATCATGTTTTCTAATGGGAAAGCACAAAGCGCAAGAGTTCCATCTTCAGACTTTCCCCACCTTTCTGTTCAAGGATATATGTGCATAGTATAGAAAATAAACTTCAAATTTAATGACTCTCTAAAGTGTCATATTATTTCTTCGGTCTAATAATGAGCCAGATAAGTATGACTTCCCTGTTTGCAGATGATTAACAGATGTACTAATAGTACAGTAGATGTACTGTGGAATGCATCACTGAGAAAACAGCAGCACTTCAGCCTCTCTAAATTATCAGGAAGTGTTAAAGATAAACTGGTGAAGAGACAGATCTGAGCTCCTGGAAAGATAAAGAAACATCCTGTTTGTGTAGCAGTGGTGTCTGTGTATTCTGAATAATAGATTAAATCCACCCCTGGTCAAATAGCTGCATACTTGGAGGCAAAAAGTTAGTCACCTTGCTAACATATCGTTATCTCTGTAACCTTCTGTACTGCTCATAAGTGTGGTCCTTGGTGCCAGGATCTGTGTGTGTGCAAGACATTACAAATATTTCATTTTTTGAAAGTGGCCTTTGCTGAAAGGAGGGAGAAGCCAAGGCTGCTGCAGAACCTTTGACATGGTGTGACTTTTTGGAGCTGGTGTGAAAGGTGCTGGATATGAATTGGCAGTAAGTGGTGGATGCATCTCTATTTTGGAGCCTTCTTTTAAGTGATACAGTTTGGCACCATCTGTAGTTTGAGGCCTTTCCTTGCTTCCGTTTCTCACAGTTTCTCTAATTGTTCATTAAATTCATTGGCATTTAGACAAATGTTCAGGTATTTCTTAAGCTGAAAATGATAAAAAAGCACTAGGGGATGCAAGAGCCTGTATACCTAGGTTAGTCTAATAGAAGGATTTTCCTGTCAGAATCCTGCAGAAATATACAGGAGCTGATGTACTGAAGGTGAAATAAGATCAACATCAAAAGAGGTTCATATATCAGATTTTCATATATCAAGACGGTGTTAGACAGGTTGACAGGTATAGCACCTGAAAGCTTATTTTGAGAAAAATCAGTTGAGAAAAACTATCTTGGAGTGACTTTATGATACTGTATCCCCTATCTCAAACCAAGACAAAACCTTGACACACAACCAGGCTTCTGGCTATTCATCTCTATCACAGGCCTCCAGGTATCTTAGATGCTATTAAACACTAAGTGTTGGACTTAATGCTGTGTTCTGCAATCCTGCCTGTTTTTGAAGAGGGGCAGGAAAAAAAATCCTGAAACCAAGTGCAAATTATGTTGAAATTTAAAGACATCAGAGTACAGAATTTTTAGGTTGGGCAAGGAAGTTTTTTCCTGACTCAGGATGAATACGTTTTAATCTGACTTTCTTCCTATAGCAAGTATAAACTGGAAAATTAGTTTTTACTAGAACTTAACCCACTTGACCCACTGTATCTGGACCCATACCCCTGTGCTGGCAAGCTGGAGAGTCACTGATGTAAAGCTTCATGCTTACTGAAGAGTTTTTCTTTGCCAGGGAGGTTGACTGTAGCAGAGGTTCTTTGCTGTGAGATGGCCACAAAAAGCTGGCAGAGATTTCAGTTCTGTTTCTGCATTGCATTCCCAGGAACCTGTGGATGGCTCTATGACATAAGGAAGCAGACACAAATCCTAGATACAGTGGCCAGTCCCAGATAATGAAGCCGTTTGTGTGGCACATTTGTGTCTCAAGTGACTGGTCACTACTCTATGTTTTGTGACATGGTGTTGGTTTGTTTTTCACCTTGGTGTAATACACCATACAGGATATATATTATACTATATCCCTGCTCAGAAGCACAGTGGTTGATGAGCTCTGAGTAGTTCATTGTGGAGGCTGCATTTATTCTGACGCTGTTTTTTCCTTCTAGGCTGTTGGCTGTGATTATGAGATAAATTCCAACGCAACAGAAGACCAGTGTGGAGTTTGCCTGGGAGATGGCTCTGCTTGTCGTACAGTGAAGATGATGTTTAATCAAAGCGAAGGATTTGGTAATTTGGATTCCTCCTTTAAATTCTTCACTTGCTGAAGTCATTTCTCTACGTAAAAATGATTGAAAGTGCTTCTTGTTGAAAACTGAGGGATCATCTGCAGGAGAAATTGTAACTGGGTGTTACCATGTCAATCAGTGAATCAGTGTTATCATGTTATCAGTGAATCATGCTTCTGCCAGAAAAAAATGCATGCTCTGTGAATAGTCAGATCTGGTCATCGTTTGATCTGCAATGCTGTGCTAATGGCCTGAGTAAAACTATTATTTTCTCACTGAAGTTGGAAAGGAAAAACAAGTTCTTCAGTCTTTGTACAGCTCTGCATACAGCAAAGGTTTCATTAATTTGTTCGTGTCTGTTTTGGGAGCATATGGTTTTAATTTTAATTAAAAAGGGAAGGATTAATAGCATCTGAGGGTTGCCAGTTCACAGGTGTGCAGAAGCACCCACAATAAGGTTGCTCCAGGATTTAATGAGCCCAGTGTAGGTAAGACAGCTGACAATTTGACTGTTATTGAATCTTGGATCTCTAGATCCTTATCTAATGAAACCACATAACCAGGAACAATTCCATAATGTTCATCCACAGAATTTTAAAACAAAAATTTATCATGTTGTGTGACAAGCTCAAAAGCGTGCTGCTGATTAGCTTTCATTTCAAAATCAGATAATGTTTATTGGGAATCAGCAAGAGGCTCTGGGAAGTCAGGAAGTAATTTAGCTGGTGGGGAGGGTCAGGGAGAAGGCAGAAGATGATATACTGAATGAATGGTAGCTTCCCTTACCAGACAGTTGCAATATTTTGAAATATTTTAAAACCTTTAAAATAAGGTTTATGAGCAGCAGCAGGTGATTCAGACAAAAATAACTATGCAAAATCTTGAAAGGATATGCAAGTTTTTGTGTTTCAATAGAATACAAATTGCCTTACAGTTTTTATACTTTGCGTTTTGAACAAATGTTATTCTAATTAAATAGAAAAAAAACCCCAACCAACTCAACCCTACTGTAAAAGGACACCAACATTTCAAAGCCAAGCTGCCAGGATGTGACATAATTAAGACTTTCCATGCTGTGTTTATTTTGCCTGGTTGTAAGTATGCCTTCTGATCAAGCCTTTAGTTACATAATCACACGCTATGTTTGTAACATGTCTTCTCTCCACTGAATGAATAGAACTTTTTGGAGAATCATTAGACTTGGCTACTTACAACAGACCTAGACCACTGATTTCCTGAATAATAGAAGTGAGCTTCCAGATTTTCTTACTTCATTCACTTAGAAAAAACTGATTCATTTAGAAAAAAATGTTTCAGTTTCCACAGTCAGTCAAGAAGACTTGCAGAAGGTTACATTCAGAAAATGTTCCTTCTTTAACATCAATCATTGGAAATCCATATATATGGTTATATAGTATCAATCTAATTAGGAAAGACCTGAAGTAGACAGATTCTGTTTTGCACCACAAGCAGCATAGGATATTTTAACCACTATTTATTACACCACAAAAGAGCTGCAAAGAAAATCTGATGTTAAAGACTCTTGGGCACTTACTTACAGCTCCAAGTTGTTGTACAACACATAAATAGTTCTGGTGGGAGAAGAACATTGATACTGAAGATTGCTTAGCATGCCCAGTGTGCTTTATCTCACTCATGTGAGTGAGTAATCAAAGGTGAAAAGCTCATTTCACAAGAAAGGTGAACAGGATGTGACTCTCAGAATTGAATTCATGACCTCAGAAAGGTGTGATGAGAACTGGGAAATTCGTGTTCCAGTCTTGAAGTAAACCAGCACAAAATGCAGCTCACGCTCCCAGTGCACCAGCTTGTAACAGTGTTATCCATCCAATTTCTAGAGCTCAGCTAGGGGCAATAACAAGAAAGCTACCTGTGTTCATGTTCAAGTATCTATGTGAACTTCCTATTTTTACAATTTAGTAGCAACAACAATAGCAGCTTCCTGTAAGGTGAGAAGCTCAAAATCTGACATCACATATTGCCTGTGATGTGAACAGAATTCTGTAATAGATGCTTTGGGTCATTCTTAACACACAAAACAAAAATCCCTGAACAAATAACTATCCATGAAGAGCCCTTGAACTTTGTTATGAAGATCGGTAGTTTACAAAAAAGTGCTGAATTTATAGTAGTAATTTGAGGCATTTGAATAACATTAGTTTGTTATTCTTGTTGTTGTAGGGCAAACAGTCGCAGAGAATTTAAATGCCTTAAGAGAAGGTACATGGAATTCTGTGCACACCTGTACATTGTGTACAGATGAAAATGTTCTTTGCAAAGTGAAAAAACCTTTCCCAACAAAGGCTGTTAACTTGCAGGAACTCCCTGGCATTTCTCCAGATTACAGTATGTCAGAGCCCTTGGGCATAGTTATGGAAATGTTGATGCTCATGAGTGGAGTAGATTTCCCCTGGCACAGCTCTGAAAGTCATTCACCTCCACATCCCTTCTAAATGCCACTGGCATTGCCTAAACACTATTCCTCAATTGATACTAGAAACCCTGACTTGGAAAGTCACACTATTAACAAACTGAAATACAAGCTCTGTGACAGCACATTTGTGTATTTTTTCAAGCAAAGCTGTTGTTTTATTCATCTTACAAATAAGTAAAATGCAGTGACATTTCTGTTGTTCACCTCCGTTAATTTTGCTTGTCTCTTAGGATATGTTGATATTGGGCTAATTCCGAAAGGTGCAAGGGGAATCAAAGTCATGGAAGTTACAGAATCAGGAAATTTCCTTGCTATGCGAAGCAAAGACCCAGAAAAATACTACCTGAATGGAGGCTTTATCATCCAGTGGAATGGTGAATACAAAGTGGCAGGCACAATATTCCAGTATGACAGAACAGGGGATCTAGAAAATCTGACTGCTCCAGGACCCACCAATGAATCAATATGGATTCAGGTAAAGAGGAAATCAGGAGCAGAACCTGCTAACTTGCATGGCAGCAGAATGTGCTGGGGCCCTGGAGCTGGGTCTGGGATGATGTGTATATTGGTATATAAAACACTAGTCATGTGCTGTCTTGAAAAAAAAAACAAACAATTGAGGTGTTTTGGAGAGAAATAAGCACTTTGCTTTTGGCGGTTGTTCATCCTGCCTAAGAACTCAAATCCTGCATGGCACTCCAATATTTGTTAAAGGCTGATAGAATCCTCTGCTGCCACTAGTTGATCAGTCCTTTGCCCAAACTTTCTTGGACCAGCTCATGGCTGCGATGTGAACCAGATCCAGATGAAAAATAAGTTGTCACAAAAAGGGAGCTGATGTGAGGCTGTGAACAGTGAGAGCTAGGGGCAGCTGACAGCAGTGACAGCTTACACAGAGCAAGAAAACATACAGCATTATATAGATGGGTTAGTAGCTTGTGGTAAGTGAAACTGACCCATTTAACATCCACAGAAGCTGATTTGTTTCTTTCATGTTGCTGTATGGATTCTGACTTATACATAACCAGTTTCTGTCAGTTCTGAGAAAATAGTTTGGAATTGGCCTTTTGATCTTCGTAAGTGTCTCTCATGGCTTGTTTGCATGTGTCCACCATGCAGTCAAAAGAAGTATTAGAGGTGTGATGGGAGACCACTTTCACACTTTGAATGTCTGGTGAGAAGACAAAACTAGTGAGTGCTCAGACTTCACTTTTAGTAGAATTGGGAAGAAGAATAAAAGTTTGTGGCTGAAGTTTTTTTTTCCCCTTAATGATGTTTACTTTCTCCCTCTCAGGTAAATTTCTTGAGTACCCCTTCTCAGCTGGAAATTTTTCTTCTTAATTCAGAAACAATGAAAAATAATGTTAAAGCAGTGTCTGAATAGCATCTGTAATTTTCTGACTCAGAGGTTGTTTTGTAACAGCTATTTCAGCAGGTAGTAAAATTATAACTGATAATGGGGATAGGCAATAGCTCTTAATCAGCAGCATAGGGATGCTTTGGATGGACTTCACATTATCTTTTCTTATAGTCAGAATACCAATTATGGTGATCCATTTATTCTCACCTGTATTTGCAGAAATGTATGGTAAACAGCTGTGTCTTTGAAAAATTCATGTATGCCATGGTTGACAAAGAAGTGGAAATTTTGCACGTATGCTTCTCTAAACTGGTAGCAGACTTTATGGGCAGCTTTAATTATTCCAGTTTCACACTTTGAAAGCTCTTGACCAGTAGATTATTAATTAAACCACTAATAAACACCACTCTCTCCAGCTGCTTTTTCAAGAAACTAACCCTGGAATCGAGTATGAATACACTGTACGCAAAGAAGAGAGTAATGAGAATGAGATTGGAGAGCCAGAGTATTTTTGGCAATATGGAGAGTGGACAGCCTGCAGTGTTACCTGTGGAAGAGGTAATTCCTCACTTTCCTTTTCTCTTACTGTTTTCCTTCATTACAGATGTAATCCTCAAAGAGGTAATGTTCCTTAAATCTGCATTTGGTGGGAAATCACATCACATGGTTACAAACATAATATGAGGAATGACTTGTTTACTTTAAATGAGGCAAAGCACTGGAACAGGCTGCCCAGAGAGGCTGTGGAGTCTCCTTTTCTGGAGATAATGAAAATCTGCCTGGTTGTGCTCCTGTGCAGCTTGCTCCAGGAGACCCTGCTGTAGTGGGGGGTGGGACTATTTGATCTCCAGAGGTCCCTTCCAGCCCCAGCCATTCTGTGATTCTGTGAATAGTGTGTTTTGACTTCTAAATAAAAAAATTTAAACTTGCATAAGTAATTATGTTTCTAAAACACCTGCCCTGAAATTCTCAGCTTCTGTGAACCAAAATAAGAAGGTACAATTTTCTTTCCACCATAATTTTTTGTCAATACTGCTCACCATAGCCTTTCTTTCCAGCAATACAAATTTATGACCTACTATTGTTTCCCTATTAAGAGTTTTCTATATAATAACTACAAAAAATATTCTTCCTTTCTGTCCTGCCTTGACAAGTAATAACTCTTTTTTGTCCATTGTTCAATAGTTACTTAATTGCAATTAGTCTTGAGAACTTCCATGTCTTTGCCCATTTGGCAATAGCTGGAGTAGCACTGGAGTTATACTGTAGTGCTGTGCAGCACATTAAACCAGACAAACACAACGATGACTGTGAAGTAGGATTTAACAACAGGTCTGAAAGTCGTGGCTTCTGGTAACTCACACAAAATGCCGCCAGAAGAAGTAGAAGTAGCTAACATCAATGAGATAAAGTTAATATTTATAGTAAACCAACAATAAGGACAAAGAGGCCAAATCTTTACATTAGTAATTTTTTAAATCCGTCTATTGTGTGAATAATTTTGAAAATGTTGTATATGAAGAGAAGTCTGAACCTGGGGGTTAGGAATTGTAGCCTTCTGTCTGAATTAACTCTTGATTTTTACAGGACAGTAAAAGAATTCTGGAGATACAGCTGTAACATTGTTCTTTGACCATCCTGTACAGTGTGAAAGGAGTAGATCAGTGTTACAAGCAGACCAATAATATGAGAAATACCTTTTCTAATGCTAGAGTATTGCTAATGGCTTTTGGTAATTACTGCTTTTTCAACTGCTTTGTGGAAGAAAAGAAAAAGGACAAACAAATGTTATAACAAACCCAGCTGTGATTCTAAAAGCAGTGATGATTGCAGGAGTAACATTTTTGAATCTCTTCTGTCAGGGAAGACACTAAAACAATGTGTTTTTAGTGGTTTGGACAAAAGGCATTTTATGACCTAATTTTATAAGATTAAAAGAAGAATTTTTAGAAGCCTAGTGTAAAATATCCCATCCCAATAACATCCACATGTTATTTTAAAAATATTTTTATATATATATATAATCAACATATTATGGAGATATGTGTTCATTCATATATATGTATGCTTGATTAGATAGACGCTGTGATTTGTTTTCTGTAGTTTTTTTTTGAGAAGAGTCTCTCAGCACAAAACTTGATGTGCTTTCTGGTGGAGAGACACCCACCATTTTCTTTAAATAGGTGCACAAAACAAGTGGTTTTGCTTAATTGTGTTCTGTAAGTGTTATTTCTGATACCTGCGTAGTTCTGAGTCATATTTAATGTAAAAATTGTTGTGATAAAAAGGGGAGAGGAGGCGAATGTGTTAGTAGACTGTTACACTGTTTTGAGGTTCTTTTTACATTAGCTGCAGTTTTCCCAGAACTGTTTCTAGGTAAATTGTAGCCCCATGTACTCTCTTCTGGCTAGTTAACTGTGATGTGGCTTTTATTTCTGCCATATGGGTTACTTAGATAGATAACTGTGGTATGTAAAGTTTTTTTCAGTTCTTATCTACTAATTGACTTCCTCTGTTAGCTGCATTTTTGCTCTTAGTAAAAGCTTAGTAAAAGCTCTTTTTTGAGCTTACTGCCTTTGTATAAGTAGAAATCATGTGTTTCAGACAAGATTACAGACTTGGTGACATCAGTTGGAGGGGAACCCGGAGGTGCATCCCAGTTCATGAAGGGCACAGACACTTCACCAGTTCTCTGCATTCCTTCATGGACAGAAGAACAGAAATGAATAAATGTGTAGTCCTCTTTCCTCTGAGATACAGATGTCTAGAGAAGTAACTGGACAGGTGTAAAGAAGGATGTAGTTTGCTGATGCAGTGATGCAGTCAGGGTATTGTCTCTCACTCCCTGCTCATTAAAACAGAGAAATCTTGGCACAGAGCTCCGATGCATCACTTGGAGTGGGGAAATCTGATATGCCAATCTGCCTGCAGCTCTCTGCAGGTGCATGTATTTGGTTGTGCTCTGGGCCATGGGGATGTGGACCAGCATCACGGTTCATAGCACCACTAAGGCTGGAAAACACGTGCAAGATCAGGGAGTCCCAAGCCTTGACCAAACACCACCTCATCAACCAAACCATGGCCCCAAGTGCCATATCCAGTTGTTTCTGGAACACTCCCAGGGATGGTGACTCCACCACTTCCTGGGCACCCTGTTCTGGTAGGGTTTGACTGCCTTTTCAGTGAAGAAATTCTCCCTGATGTCCAACTGACTTCCATAAAATTGCCTTCTGACTTCCACAAAACCTCCTTCTGGCTGTGAACAATGCGATCGATTTCATGTGGATGTTCACTCTGTTTAGATTCAGAACTTATTGCTGTTGGCACTAACACACTTGTACCAAATCACTGACATTTGAAGTGTTCTGAGGAGTTTATAAGATAAAAGTGCACTGAAGTGCACATCATCTTCTGCTATGGGTGTGCTGCAGGACAAGTGTTATTGAAGATAAGCCTACAGAGAGATAAATAAGAAAAGCTGTATTTATTTAACCTAACGTAAGTAGTAAATAGCTTTTAAGGATTATTGCAATTACCATTTTTGAAAACAATTAACCAATATTTTTAAGGTAAAAAGGAGGACCGAGAAAGATGAACTGCTGAACTAACTTTTACAGCCACAGCCAATGGGAGCAATTGATTCTTACCTAGACTTCTATTCTCTTGGCAAACCTGGACCTGCCAAAGGTCCAGCACAGGTCCTTTCATCACCACTGGCCAAAAACACAGCAATAAATCCAAGGCTACTTCAGCCTTTGGTGGCCACAGAAATCAGGACAATACAATCAAATGCTTTCTGCAGTCAAGAAAGAAAATTTGCATTAGGAAATAAGAAGTTGGGCTGCAGGCTGCAGGGACTGATGCAGTGGAAAAACAAAACATTCAAATCTTCTCATGGCTTCTTTCATTTCCTTTGTATGCACCCATCTATTGTAGTGTCCAAGGTGGCTCTGGCCAGTCTACGGTAACACCACTGAACAGGAAAAAAAGTACTCAGAAAAATCAAGGTTTTCTGTGGCAAATATACCTAATCCTTCATGCAGGGAAAAGGAGAACACACTGCAATACCTGATACGCATTTCCAGTGTAGAAAATAGATTAGTTACATTGCAATCCAGTTCATGGCAAACAAGCACCAAAGGGGATAATTTGTAGTAAAAGTCATAACCCTTTCTCTGTCCTCAGTGCAGGACAGGTTGAATCTCTTCCTGCCATTTGCTTTATGCTGAAAGGAATTGCTTTGCAGTCAGAATGTGTGCACACTGGTGTCCTGCAATCTGCTACACCCTCTGGACAAGATCTGTCCCACCAGAGCCTGCTCTCAAGACAGCAGGTAGAGCCTGTAAGCTTTTTTACATGCAGATTAATTTAAATGTGTCACTGAGGTTCTTTTCAGGACCAACTACCTATTATTCCTTCTTTAAATAATCACGGAATGGGTTATATTGGAATTAAAAGTGTAAGTACTTCCTCCTTGTCTAAAGGCTTTGGTCTTGTTTCTTAGAACCAGCTTTGAGTGGCATTAAATGTAACAAAAAGCATAGCACAGCACAGCTGCAACTAAAGGAGAATATTATCCAATATCAAAACTTTGTTTCTCTATACTACAGATAGTATGGGTAATTGGCAGATTTTCAAAGCTCTGCTAAAAGACTTAACCCTAAGATTCTTTTTGGGGTTAACTGCTTTGTGCCCTCTAAATCCTTTACAACTTTTATAAGGCCGCTCTACAATATTATTTCCAAATATTCCTAAGCTTTCAGTGTTGGTTTTAGAATGCAAAGGTCACTGTTTCCATTGACTGTTGTGTGTCTCAGTTTTATAGCACTGCAAATGTAAAGACTGGCACTTGTATTCTGTGCATAACTTGTGCATGCACAGAATATAATTTGCTCATTCAAATACAAAGTGCAGAGTATCTAAGTGCACAGCTCAGATGATTACATGTTCAAATGAGCTCTAAAGTCAAATATGCATGTTTCTCATACACTTTTTATTTACTTGCTTATGATCCTTCATTTCTGTTGTTTACAGCCCAAACTGAGGGCTCTGTGGCAATAAGATTTCTAATCTCTCTTTCAAAAGCCTTTCACACCCAGATGACTTTGAACTGGTACCTTTCTTTGCAAACCAAGTGAGAAATCAAGGTATGCGAGGGTCAGCCTCACATCTAAAGAGTCCTGCATTAGGCATGAAGTGTCACAGGGAAAAAGAAGGAATCTCTGAGCAGATTTAGTGAAATGAAGATTATTGTGTGATCTGATGATCATCTTTCTTAGTTTCTCCTAACTTTCCCAGAAATACTTGCAAGGTTTTTTTCACTGACCTGAGATAATACACATCAGGTGAACTAATCAGCATTGAGTTCAGAAAGAAATAAAAGTGGTGAATGGAGGGAAACAGGTCCCTCTCAAAGCTCTTTAGAAAAAATTTTAGGTTTCAAACTTTACTGAGGTTTCAGTATATTTAGAATTTTTAATCTGTGGCTTAGATAGGACATTACCCTCATAACTTGTGCAACTGTAAATACTTGCTGGGGCAGGGTCAGTAGTGACTAGTTGTCTTCTTCTGCAGTGTTTTCTAGTTCAACTTGCTCAAACAGATAAAACCATTTCATTATGTCATAGCATGTAAACCTACATCTATGTGTGTGTGTGTTGCTATATGCATATAGGATTCCTTTCAGCTCTGGAATTGAACTGCCAGAGATTTTGAAACTACAGTGGGAGTTCATGTAACTTTCATAAAGAGGTTGTTTATTAGAATAAACTAGTTCATTGATGTCAGCTGGTCCTTTTATGAGAATGTACAGCTTCAAAGCAAAACTTTTGCAAAGGTTTATAGGGGCTTTAAAATTAATTGCAGCAGCTGAAATGACACTAAAAATTTATCAAACCAAAAGGTTTATTGTTGTTTGTATTTGGAACAGCAACATACCATGATTTTGAAAGTAACAGAAACATTTCTGCCAACTGGTTTGCTTACAGCTAGCAGAAAGGTTGCTGAATTTTCTAGTCACATTTATACCAGGGCATAAAAGAGAGCACTGCTCCCTGAGAGTCCTGTGCTGAGACAAAAGGCTTGCTCTTGTTTGAAGTCACCTATGAATAAGAGATCACCAGGTCCGGGCTTACTGCAGTCTTGCAGCTGCACCATGGACCCTTGAATGCCTCAGTCCCTTAATCTTCCCTTACAGGTGACACTAATCACTGTTCTAGAAGATCAGCCTTCATATCTGACTGGGGCACAGTCAGTCATCAAATCTTGTGCTGTAGTCAGTAATTGTTTTATATGTCTCAGTCAGAAGCCTTAAAGTAATCAAAAAACGAAAGCATTTCCTCACATACGTGATGTTCTCAAGTGTTAAAAAATAGGGATGTAGGTTTCCTTTGGTTTCTATGAAGTTACCCAAACAGGCATGCAAAACTCTCTTCTCTGTTCTTGAGCTAGAGCAGGATTAATGATTAGATTTGTTGATCCTACAGGGCTTTTCCAACCTTAACATTTTTATGATGAATATGAATATACAGAGGAATATATTACTATTTCTCAATTATTTTCTATGGATTGCTGTTCTTATCTTCCACGTAGTTTCCCATACTAGTTATTAGGAGGCCTGAGGAAAGGAAAAGCTTGTTTCCTAAACATGCTGCTAAATAGCCCAACACTTATCCTTGATGCCATGATAACAGGGCTGTTAGGCCCTGTGCATCCCAGGAGGAAGATAAAAGTTCTAGAGATGCAGAGATCTACAGTGTGTATTAATTGATATGAAAATGAATAGCACAGTTAATGGGAGTTAAAAAATTATTTTTCAGTCTTTTTAGTCCTTAAGATTTGTGTGGACTATTTCAATGCCTCTATATCAGTCTCACTGCAGTCTTTCAAACTGTAATGTTGCAGTACTTTTGTTTACATTGGATTGCCTCAAATTATTGCAGAACTATGGGGAAAGCAGGCTCCTAGAAACTGGATTTCTTTAGATTCATATTAGGTTATTGTAGTATCTTGGTTCATGTTTCTTTCTGTTAAAAGAATGGAGTTTTGTATAAATGGAAATGTTTTGAAATAACCCAAATGGTTTGTGTGAATTGTTTTTGTGTGTCTCTTCATAATTGTTCTTTGCCTCTTGTGCTGAGTGTTGTGTATTATTTACTTAGAAAATAGAAGACATTTTTCATCATTGATTTCAAAATGTGCACCAAAACTTCTTAAAAGTTGAATTCATGTTAAGAGTCACAGGATTATTCTGTGGCTCTGGTTTGTGTTCTGCTTAAACAGCCTTCCCAATGAACAGAGAAAAGGTCAGCAAACCCAAGCTTGCTGTGAATAGCCTGATGCTGCTGTGGTTCCTCTTGTCTGTGGGTAACTGGAGAACCCTTCAAAGCCATTTAACCGCACTCGAGGGCCTGCAGGAGCCCTTTCTGAGGCCAGCAAAGCCATCAAGGAAAGTGCTTTCTAATCTGTCACTTGAGCTCTGATCCCATCCAAGAGAGCTCTGCTTGACCTTTCCAGCTTGGCTGAAGGGTGTACGTAGCCGGGGATTCCTGCACTCCATCCCCAGCCCAGGATGACTGCTCCTTTCTCTCTCTCTGTGTGTGTGTGTCTCTGGCAGGCCTGCGGCGGCAGATCGCGCGCTGCGTGCGGAGGGCGAGCGGAGCCGTCAAAAACTCCTTCTGTGACCCAGCCACGCAGCCCAAGGGGCGGCACAAGAAGTGCCACGAGCAGGACTGCCCGCCCAGGTAACAGCTTCTGGGGCTCTGGGGGTGGGAACAGCATCCTTGCTCAAAGGGAGCTGCTCCTATGCCAGGCTGGCATGGCATCCGGGCCTTCCATGGTGCCATGGTGAGGGCTGCCACGCCTTGCTGAGCAAGGTGCCAGAAACTATATAGTAAACAAATCAGAAGTGAACCATCCTGAGAGGTTTCTAAGTCAAGTTACGGAGCAGTCTGTGCTGGCAGAGATTGTTCTCTCATGTATTTAGATACTATTTTCGTTCAGTTTGGGTACCGGTGTGCCTGAAGACCATATAGGTTTTTATTTTAAAACTGTGTTCTTGCCTTAGCTCAAGTGAGCTAAGAAGAATTAATATATTAGTAATTAGTGTATTCCAGAAACAACTAGCAGAGCCTTTAGATGTTGTTTCTCAGTATTTGAGAATACACCTTTGTCCTTTTTATGAGAGGTGATGAGTGGAAATGCTTACTTCTAAAACTAATTTTTGTACTTTCTTTGTAACACAGTACTTGGCATTTTTTATTATGTTCCTTCTTATTTATAACTTTGAGTGAAGTGCAGTTCTCTTAATTCCATGATCCCATGGGAATAATTCTTTCCTTTCTCATAACATTGTCTTAATTTATATTCATCTCTGGTTTTTTCTGTGCTACCATTTTAGCATTTAGTAGGGTAAGGAAGACTAAACATTCCAAATGGCTGCAGAACTATGGGCTTGTACAACAGGCACAGATTTGCTGAAAGAGATCAATACTGATTTTTGTTTTGTGCTTTTGGTACTTTGGTTTGTCTTCTGTTGTCTTTGGAAGTTGTTTATCATGCTGTTCACAAAGGTACACCAGTCTTTCCCTAGAAATTCTAGTTCAATCAGAATCAAATCGAAGCAATGAATCCTTGGGGTTCATGGTGTTGCATTTGCCGCCAGTGAATTTCATGAAACTTTGATGTTAAAAGTTCTCTGTATTTGTTTGTTTTATTAGTTATTTCCAAGTACCTTCATAGGAGTATGTGATGCTTCTGTGGGATTTACGTCTTAGTGCTTGCAGCATGGTGTACCAGCTGCATTTCATAATTCTTTGTAGATTGGCAGGAAATCAACTGAAACTAGACCAAACTTTTTATTATTTGACTAGTTAAGAGCTGGGGCTACCCATACACACTGAGGTGTTTTTTCATGGCACACATAAACTGTACTATCAATTAAAAAATTCCCAGTTAACTCAATTTATGCCATTTGTTCTAAGTGACAACATTATTCAGACCTGCTCTTAAAAGTCAGAGAGGGGAATTTGTCCCTTGTTGAGCAGACTACACAATGTCATACATAAACCAAACTCTTCTGCAGACCAGGCAGAAAAGCTCTTGTGTGCTGGCAGCCTGTGATGCTTCCTCAGCTCATTCTGTGCTGCAGGGGAAACCAGAAGTCATCCTTCTGAGCAAAATCACAACGAAGTGCAGTGCAGGAAAACCATATGTATTTAATTCTAGAGTCATGTTGCATATTTATTTTTCTCTTAGTAACACAAAAGTGACTGTAGGAACTTGACCAAGGGACTGAGTCCCTGTGCTGGCTCTCAGCAGGGCCTACATGCTTAAGGAGGAATAAGTCAAACATAAATCAGATTTCTTTGTAATGGTCTTCCGGCTTCCAACTGGTTTTAATTCAAGGCATTTCCAGAGGATTTCTTAGCTTGTCTAATCAGTAACCTCCAATGAACCTCACTCATCCAGCCTCCTTCTGCAGCCTTGGAAAACTTCTCTTATATACAACTTCCTCTATTATATACCATGTCCTCTTGAATGCTGGAGGCAGGTGAGACTGTCCCACATGGCATTATGTGGGATAACCGAGAGTCCAGTGGAGCTGCTGAGGACAAAGTGTTCCCTAGAGAGGTGGCTAATTTCTGTGCCAGAGGTGAGGACAGTTCTGTTAAACACAACCCTGTAGAAGACCTTTGTTTAGTGCTGCAGCCACAGAACTGAAATCGTTGGATGACCTTGAACTTCTCAGCAATGAACCAGGTGCTTTAGAGTAGGTTCTATCAAAAAAATGATGGCTGTTCCCTACTAAATCACACTGATGAAAAACATGCTACTAGACCACTTAAAAAGAAATCAATAATTTATCAAACAGAAGCTATGGACAAATAATAAAATGGTTGTGGCTCTCACAAACCAGATCTTACCTCCTTAATCCATTTCAGGAAGTTGTAAACTGTTTAAATTGCAGATTTAAAATTACATATTTAAATTACTTCTGAGAAGTCTAAGCCTTAACATTCTTGCTTGTCGCCTGATTTTCTCTGTATTTATTTTATGCTTATTATTACACTTACTATTACACTTTCTCCTAAAATAATTCAGAGGAAAATGAAAGAAACATTAAAAATATCACAATACATGTACGCCCTGCTTTGATTCAGAACAAAATAAAGGTGGCTGGACAGCTGAGAGTTAAAATGTCATGCAGCCAGTCATGTATTGCTTCAGTGATATTGCTTAGGTGAGTGCATTGAGACTGCAGTACAAATGCTTGCTTTTTTCCAGGTCATGCTATGGAGTATGGTTTCCAGTTGAATGTTTCTTTGGTATGCAGGTGTTTAGTCCCATACCTGTTAATGTTAAAATCAGTGGATACTACTTGAAAAAGAGTAGGATTTTAACTACTTAGAGCATTGTGAATAAAATTTTGCTTCCCCCTGTAAAGAAAATTGTCTGGAGCCTTTTTAACTTGACTACCCACTTCAACAGAGTAACCCTAAATAGATTATTTTAAAAGTTCTTGGAATCTGCTACTTGTTATCTGTAGTTATTGCATTGTCCTGCTTCCAGACTGCTTAGTACACTTCCAATAGCATAATAAGAATGAGAAATCTGTTTTCTATTCCAATGCACAGAGTGAGAATCCATGCACCATTGGTATTTACTGTGCCTGATGCTGGACAAATACATAAAGAAGCCAACAGTCTCTCTTTAGGAGTGACATGCCAAGATGGGAATGAGGGAGCTTTAGCCCCATAGCCTCAAAATTCCATGCTATTGCTTTTTCAACAGGAATCACACATCATTCACCACACATCTTCTCTGTATAGCTGAGGACTATGTCATAGGCTTTTGGGCTCTCCCTAATTTTTTACAAGCCTTAGAAATCCAGTTTGTGAGGAGAAGATAAGTCTCATTTAAGGCACCTGAATGCCATCTGAAAGAGTGAGATTTTCTTCCTATCTCTGTCCCAGGCTTGGTTGCAGAAGAGCTGAACACTCACACCTGCAGCTCAAAACTACCTGAAGTTATTTTTTCACCAGACAGGCTGCTCTCTGTTCTGACAGTCTGAGGAAGATCAGTGCTCATTTATTGCAAATTAATTACCTAAATTGTGCATTTTGCTTGTTTGTTTGCTACCACAATCTTTCCATGCCATGCCTGCCTATGGAGATAAGACAGTCATTTCACTTTGCAGGGATCTGTTGATGAATTAATACTTAAGAACCACTCAGTTGCTGTAGCAGTAAATGCCAGAGGTAGAATCAGAAACCAGACGCAGGAACAAGTATTGGGTGCTGACTCCCATGAGGCTTTAGTGTCGACCAGCTTGTCCCAGTCTCTCTCCACAGTCTTTAGCTTGGCTGGGAGATCCAACATCTTGGCCATTTCCTCTCAGAAGCTGCATATTTAGAGCTCGGATTGCTGTGTTAATTCTGAATGTGCGTTTGGTAGTAACGTCCAGATTTGGTTATGCCTCTGCACTGTGGGGAGACAGCAAAAGCTCCAAGATAAGCAGAGCTTGGCAAAGCAGTCACTCAAGTGTTACTCTCTTCTCTGTGGTCCAGAGCCTGCTCTGGGGCATCCTGTACCAGAACAGTAAAAAGGATGTTGACAGTTTTGCCATCCTTGCTTTGCCTTTGTTCCCCTTTGGCTGAGATGCCACAGTTCAGGTCCTCAAGCAGAAACCACGAAGAGACAGGAGCACAGGTGATTCCATGTCAGGTTTCTGACTCTTGGATAATTAGGCATATGCATGAAAAAGGATATGAAAGGATGAAAACAGGAAAATGCAACATCAAAAATTCCAGTTAGTGTTAAGAGCAAATTTCCAGTTAGAGCAAGTTTTTTTGAAGTTAACCTGCACTGAGTGAGGAAGAAGACTACAGAAAAAATTACCTGGCTGACTGTAGTTTTATTTTGATCATGAAGATGGAATACAATAAAACCTTAATTCTGGGATTTTCTAACTGTGGAGTACCTGACTTTTTTGACTACTTCCACTGCTTTCAAAAGTGTTTTGTGTGCGACCGTTGATCACACACTGTTACTGCTGCTCAAGGTAGGTTCTGTGGTAAGCTCTGATAATTTATTGCTTAGAGATTGGTATTTCAATGCACCAATTGCTAAACCCTCAGTCAGAGCCATTTAAAAATGCTGAGGGGGAAGAGGTGTCAGTACCTCGAAATATGTAATCTGGTCCCATTAAAATTAATAGAGCAATTCACATATTTATGTTCCATTTGTGCGGAAATGTCAGCAATTTACAAGATTATAGAAGAGATAAAATTGTAAAGAAGATGCAAGAGATGATAACAACCCTGAAATGGCTTGATTCAGGTGGTGATAATTTACTCCTTTTTTTTTATTACTGTGTTCAGCTGAGGTGTACTTGCTTTTTATTTACTTGTTAGAGTTCCTTTGTTGTTTGCAGACCTGGAAGAACAAGAAACAATCTAAAGGAAGGCAAGAGGAGGAGAAAGATATTTTGAGTAGATATTTTGGGATATTTTGTAGTTTGATTTGGAAAGATTAGTTTATTTGGAAATATATATGTGGATTTTTTTTTAATCTGGTCCAGAGACTTCACCACTGGGTTGTGGTGGCAGTGGACTGCATTCTGGAGCAAAGCAGTCAGTGCACTTTGGGGTAACTTAAAAGGAAATGCTGTATGGATATATTACTAAACAGGAAGAAGATGGGTGTAGGTACCACAGAGAGGATCAGATGGCTGCACAAATAAGCTGTGTTGCAGCTTCATGGCTCTGAGTCTTGGTTGTTTATTCTTTAGTTACTAGGAAGGTGTACCAGTGCCTTCCACATCAGTGGCAGCTGACATGCAGTGGAAGTGAAAATGAATTAAGGAACTTGGAAACTGCAGTAGGGAAGGGAGAGGGATTATCAGCAGAGACAAAGCATAAAAACTGTTATAAATAAATCTGAATGCTGAACTTTGATGTATTTATCAGAATAGGTTTCTTTTGTCTCTAAGTTCATGGACATTAAAAGGGAAAAAAAAAAAACCAAAACAAACAAACCAAAACCAATAGAATACTGTTGGTTGTAAGCCAAAACCAATTTTTTCTGCCTTTTTTAATAGAAAGGTGTTTTCAAAATATATTGCTACTTTGTTTTCACTGTAAGGCTTTGTTGTGACCTCCTTGAAAACTCTGGAGCAAGCAATGTTGTTTAGGAGCTTTTGTGGCTTAGAGTTTAGAGCTGGGCCAGATTTTTCAAGCAGCAGCTTGAAGTTGTATTCTTGCTTAGGGCATGCTTAACTGAAGGAAAAAAGCTTTTCTTGGTTTGATGTTTTTTCCTTCTTTTTCTTCAACTATAAAGATAAATCTTCAGGTAAATGTCACAGTTGATGCCAGGGCTTCTCAAACTGTAGAAATCTGGAAATTTTTGCTCCCCTTTCGTATCACAGAAGGCAGATATGCTGATGCACAATCTGCTCTGGGTCAGCATGAGAAAAAATAGTTGGATGGTGCTGGAGAAATGCTGAGGTAAACCAAATGTAAAGGGAGCAGTTCTTGTAGGTAAGGTGTTTTGCACTGGAAAACACATAACATGTTATAGAGGAAAGTTACTCTCGCTTTGGTGGAAAATTACATACCATAGTATGAAAGACGGACTTTAATCATGACAGAGACACATAAGGGACTCCTTCCTACTTTGTTGAGGAGTTAAGTACAGGAAAGTGCAGCCTAATGCAGGCCTGTACACCATGCCCAGAGGGACAGTGCTGCAGGACACTGATCCCATGCAGCACAGCATTGGCTAACCTGGTTTTGGGGCTCTGTGCCTCCCTGCTTCCCCTAATGGGAAGAGGCCTTGTGGAGGGAGGTAACCCTTGGAGAACCAGTTTGAGTATTTGTGCAGTACTGGCTGCTTAGACTGGGTAAAGGGACCTTTCCCACCTCTGTGCTGTCATTACAGACTCCCCAGTGATTCTCATTTGTTAACTCTTCTGTACTGACATAGCAATAAACAGACAAACCATAGGATAGAGTAAATAGATTACTTGCTTACGTAGATTTCCTAGCAGTTCCTAAGATTTGGATTTGAAGGACTACCTACTCAGTAGATTTTTACACTTTATTGAAGCATGAGGCTTATTCCCCACTTCTCTCTGGAAATCCTGCCTAATTCTGTCTTCTCTGTTTCACTGACTGGCTGGTACTAGAGCACAGGGTGGGTGGGAGAGCTTGAGTGATCTGAACCTTATGTGAATAGCTTATATCTGAGCCCAGATTTTAAATTACTGTTTCTTTTTCTTGCAGTCTCTGACCTTTTCCTTGATGTGCTTGTGGTGGGTTGTTTTCTGATGTTTCTCACCCTGCTGGTTTTCAGGTGGTGGGCAGGGGAGTGGCAGAAGTGTTCGACCACGTGTGGCCCAACAGGGCAGAAGAAGAGAACTGTACTTTGCATCCAGACAGTGGGATCTGATGAGCAAGCACTGGATGTCACAGAGTGCCAGCACCTGCTTAAACCAAAGACCCATCTGTCATGCAACAGAGATATCTTGTGCCCATCTGACTGGACAGTGAGCAACTGGACTGAGGTAAATTCATGTTAGCTGAAACACTGAACTTTTTCTCAAAATTACCTATTATATTCAGCAAAAAGGACCAATGACCTGCTGTTTTGCCTTTTACACTTTTTTTCTAGAATACTTTTCTGTACTTTAATATGTTCACAAATCCTTTGTACATAAAAAAACCTCCAGCCCAGCTTCCTAAAGACTTTGGGCAGTGTTGCATGTTAACTTGCTGAGCTTTTGGGACTGTGGAATGTGGTGTGCTCAGTGCTAGACTTTGCGTGAGAGCAGTGGCTGCTGTGGGCCAGACTAGGGGGATAACTACTGTCATCTCTGTAGGTCAGCACAGCATTTTTAAATTCTTTACATTCATATCTCTTGCATCCAAAACTCTGCCTTTTTTGCCATAGCTCTGGAAACATATGGGAATTGTTCAGAGCTGCACCAGGAGATGTTTGGGTCGGACATTGGGAAGCATTTCTCTTCTGGGAGGGTGGTCAAACCCTGGAACAGGCTGCCCAGGGAGGTGTTCAATGTCCCCAGACTGTCAGTGCTTAAGAGAGCATTGGGACAATGCCCTTAGCAGAATGCTTTGACTTTTGGTCAGACATGAGGTGCTCAGGCAATTGGAGTAGGGGTTGAGGGTTGAGGGTCTCTTCCAGCTGTAAATACTGTCTTCCCTTATTTTTTGAAAACTCCACTCTCATCTTTCTCCTTCATCTTTTTTTTTCATTAGACTCACTGCTATGAGAACAGTCACATACTGAACTAAAAAAATCTTGTGACTCTATTGGATTGGTTTATGCTGCTCACAGACCACCATCACAAAATATTGAGATTTTTTGTTAATTGAGTAACCCCCATGTTTTAAATACCTGTGAAAAAATAGATTGAGCTTGCATGACTAGCAGTGCAATTATATAGGAATGGCACATTGCTTGTGCTCACGTGCAGTTGGATTTTATTTACAACTTACTGATAAAAATGCATTTTTACTTCTGCAGAAACTGGAGAGAGAGTGCAGGTATTTCACCTGCACAAAGGACAGGAGCTGATGAACCTGTTTACTGTGAGGCTACACTGGTTGCTTTCCTGCTCCTGTTGCTGCAGAGCATCGGGATGCAATATTATTTTATAGCTGTGAACAACAGAGTGCTCCAGCAATGCAAAGTCACTGGTGTTTCTACTGCCCTGTGACCCAGACTAGCTCCAAAATGAGTTAAATGTGTCAGGGACAATAAAGTCCTGGGAAAAGGAGAGTTTGTCACTTCATGTTGAGCACCTGGTCAGGCTTCCTTGATTCATAGGAAGAATTCTTCCAGTAGGGTTTTTTGTAACATCTCCACTCCTACTCAACCAGTCATCCAGCCTTAGCATCTCCAACCAGAGAAGTGTGATTTTATAAAATCCGTAGTTGAGGCACAGCTGCTGAAGGCATGGCTGTGCCTTTGGGCCTAAGGATGAAAAAAATCACAGAAAAGAAGAACATCACTCCTTTTCTGCATCTCCTTAGCTCCCAGCACTCTTTGTACACAGCAGTGCTCTCATTTAAATAGAAGCCAGGTTGGCTAATTACCTTCTGTAGTCTCTAATTGAGGACAGACATGCTAGTAGCTCTGGCAGCAGTTCATGGCTGTACTAAGACTGAATGAAAAATCCATTTCATAAAGTCAGCAAGGGTCTGTGAGCTGCATGGATCACCACAGCAGGTTTGTGGCACTGTGAACAGCACTGAGCCAGTGAGGTGTGGGTTCAGGTCCAGGTTTTTAGTCTGTTTTTTTATAAATCTGGTGGAAAAGGTATTGACTAAATGACTTTGTGAGTCAATGAAGAAATCAAATTCTACCATATTAATTTAATATTTTGTCTTTGTCATGTAGTCTTTTTTCACTACTATTTCCCCAAGGTGACATTTACTGTTGAAAAATTTGGAAAGAACTCCATGGTAGCAGAACATCACTGGAATGAAAGGCTTGTTCTCCAGGAAAAGCTTTGTAATTCATTATTTGTCATGATGCTTCTTCATTATAAACAAATTCCATCTGATACTTCTGTGATGGGAGATTACATTAACAGGTACATTAATTCTGTTTCATTTGCAGTGCACAGTCACTTGTGGTGGTGGAGTAAGGACTCGTAATGTCACTTGTGCCAAAAATAATGATGAGCCTTGTGACAGTTCCAAGAGACCAAACTCTAAGGCCCTGTGTGGTCTTCAGCAATGCCCTTCTGCTGGAAGATTTCTGATTCCCCCACAGGCACCCAGAAGGGGCAAGATCATAATCAGAAAAACAACTGCTGATCCTGAACGGAGTCTTCCTCGCAGAATACCCAGGCCAAACCCCAAGTTCCATACAACAACAAAAATGCCCAAGCATGAAAGTGTAACTCCCTTTTTGCCTACATCCTCTGGTTTGGTCAATGTCTCAGGAAAAGAGGGAGCACCCAACAGGACATTACAGAGTAATTTTGCTGAATCAGGTGATGTTTACAATTACCCAGTTGTTTCTACTGAAAATAGCTCATATCAAAATAGTACTTCATGGCCTTTTCATAACAGCTTAAGTACTGAAATTATAAGGCGTGCTGAAAACACCTCTAAAAGTGAGCCAGTTTCTACTGCAGAGGGTGAGATGCAAAGAAGTGAGGACACTCCTGTTTCCTCTTTTACCAGTAATCCAGAAATAACTTCCAGCTATGATTACTTAACTGAGGAATCTGACAACACTGATGGGCCACTTGGAGTCAGCAAGAAAGCAGTTGTTCTCTTTTACAGCACAGAGCTCAGTCCTGACATCAGGACCAGAAGCACAACCTTGGACACTGCCTCTCCTGTCTCTCAGAATGAGAGTGTGACTTCTCAGAGCCCACCAGCATCTCCTCACCAAGACCTTTCTGTGCTCAGTCCTGTCAGCAGAGCTGCACAAGGGCTGCCATTTCCAACAGCAGCAAACTATGTCAGTCTGCAAGTTGATGTTCCTGTGGTGGAGGTAACAACCCCACAAGCACTGGTTACAGAAATGCCCACAGAGCTTGGGCATGCACCGAGAGACCAGGCTGACAGCAGAGAAGAAATAAAGCTGCCTGACACTGTAACCACTAGCACACAATCCTCAGCTCCCAAGCATGCTCTGAACAACCAAAGTGCAGCAGGTGTTTTAGTGAATGCCACAGACAACAGCCACATAATAACATCCAACAGTTTGCCTAGTGATGCCTACTGGAGAGTAGGCAACTGGAGTGAGGTAAGTTATTTTTTGCTAGTAAGAAGTGGAGAGTGTGAACAGCTGTCTGAAACACTGCTGAGGAAATGGAGTTTCTTAGTTTGTCACAATTTTCTGAAATCAGTATCATATATGTAAAATACCACAAAAAAAGGTGGTAACTTGGGATATCTAAAATTAGGTTGCTTACAGAGAATGAATATAGCCATCACAGAGCCTGGCCATAATTTACCAACTTTTATTTAATACCGTTGCCACTGTAAAGTTTTATTTTTATGTCAGCAGAGTTCCTTATATGCTAAAGGATTTTATATTCTTGAAGTCATGATACCTAAAGTGAGAGATGTTGGTGTCTGAACTAATCATCTCATTTTTTGATGGCCTTTTTTACCAAACTAGAGAGGGTCAGATCTGGAAGCCTCCTAGTGGTGATCTGCCTCTGTGTCTCAGTGCTGATGGAGAATGCTGTCCAGGGTCTGTTTCTGTGTACCTGTTTGCTCTTGGGTCTGCTGGGAATGATTCACAATCATAGAAATGCAGAAATTCAGGGCCAAAAAGGACAGCATGAGGTTACTAAATGTATCTCATGTCAGTGGAGGCATATCTAGACCCCCTGAGATGCGGATGTTGGATGCGGACAGTGGGTAGGACCCCTGCTCTGTCCTCAGTGCACCAGCCCTTGTTCAGGACATGTATTCCTGATGGCAGCTTGAGCTTTCATCTTGTGCCTTTCTGTGGCCAGGTGAGAATGGCCTTAGCTTCCCTTGTTCTAGTGGGACAGGTGAAGAATTCCCTCCTGCCCATATCCCTGTAAGAGAAAACCTGCTTTTAGATCTGCTTGAGTGCAAGACCCTACAAGAGAAGATCAAGGGAATGGTTGTGACCCCAAGCCCCCACAGCCTGAGCAAAGGCCTGTCATGCTGAGATGCTCCTGTCCCACTCATTCATCATCCACCTTGAAATATGTTCCTTATAGATAGCAAACATCTTCCTTACTGAAAATGAGGATTCTCTTATATGCATTCTCTTCTTTTATATATGCAGACTATGGAGGAAAATTGTCTTCTTAATAACTCTTTTGGGGTCTGACATCTAAATTCTTTCGAGATTTTCCTTGTGCTTTTTAAATAACTGGGGACTTTGTTTTTCTTGTCTGATCTTGCTTCAGTTTCATGACATATTTTATGTCAGTGATGTTCATTGTGGTCCCAGTGGACACATGGCATATAAAATCAACTAATTATTCACATTTTATGTATTACCCTCTTTGTGAATGCAGAAATGATGACTTAATCCAGGATTATTTATGCTGTTCCTCATGCCAGCTACAGGCTGCTTAGTGTGTGTTGAATTTGGCTCTACATGTATAGCTCACTGACCCACCCTTTCTAAGGCAGAAAAAAGTAAATGGTTTCAACCCCTCTTGCTTCAGAATAAAATGACAGTGTTTGGGGTTTTTTGTGAGGAGTGTGCTCTCTTGGGATGTGGACTGGAATAGTCAATATTCTCTTTCCTGAGACACAGTAATCCTCCCAGATGTTGAAAACACTCAGCCACTTCCTGAAATAATGATTTAGAGAAACATTTTCCTGTACAGTTTTCCTAAGATTCCTAATATTTATTTAAGATTTTCAGCATCATAAATTCAATTAGCTGACTCTCTCATCAGCAGTATTAGGTGTAGAGAGGGAACATGCTGAAGATTGGATGTAATTGCATTTTACTGTGGATCCCCAGAGATAACAGAAGAAAACAGTGGAACAGCTGGTACAGATTTAGAATGTCTCAGTGAGCAGGAGTTTGCCAAAGAAAAGAAGTGCATCGTATAAATCAGGACTGGTATTGTCCTAAGAAACCAAAAAAAGCCCTCCTTCAGAATATTAAGTAAAATTTGGTGAATTTCAAATCTTTTTTGGATGTCTCTGATAACATTTGTCATCTACAACAGCTCTAGATATTTATATTTAGGTTCCAGGATTGTTTCCAGAATAATGTTCTAACATTGAGTTTGCCCCTGGGCTTTCCTCTTGCCCTCATGCAGTGCTCTACAACCTGTGGAATGGGGGCTTTCTGGAGACATGTGGAGTGCAGCAGCAGGAACACATCTCACTGCCAGGACATGAAAAAGCCTGATCCTGCAAGGAGGTGTTATCTCCGTCCATGTGCTAGCTGGAAAACAGGAAATTGGAGCAAGGTAACTTCACTCAGGGCTGTGTATGAACAGTATGCTTGCAGATTTCAGTTGGTATGAAACTTCAAATATTTCATTTTTAAAACAATTATTTGCTCAGTGAATGCATACATGATTCTCAGTTGACCATTCAGCACTAATTCACTAATTTCCTGACCGAGTTATATCTGGAAACACATCTGCTGTGAATTTTGCTCTTCCTGTGGTGGGTTGTGCTCATTAACTCTGGCATCTAGAGCCAAAGCAGGATTCACTGCTCCTGTTCTTTGGAGCTGACAGGGCAAAGCTGTACACAGTTGCTTGTGACATCTTTTTAATCTCTGTCTCCAGGGACATATCCTAATTTTAAGAAGCAGTGGGAATTTGGGAAAGAGAGTTGTTGTGTTCCTACTCACCCTTGTCAGCATGTAATTTACGTGATCTGTTCCCCATTCATGTAACTTCTAAGTCTGGTCTGTGCAGGATTCTGTTTGGCCCTAGTTTTGTACCCATGGCCTGTTCAAGGGACAGAAGAGTGTCCAGGGTGCTAAGTGGAACCCAAAGAATTGTGCTTGAGCCCCATTTTGATATTTTAAGCTGTGTGAAGAGCACCTGGAAGGACTTAGGTGACTTCTGGAAGCTTATTACATTTTGTCTTCATGCAGTCTGAAAATTGAGTTTCAAACCACAGGTTATTTTTCAAGACTAAAAAGAGATAAACTACAAAATTTTGTTTTAAATATTTTTGATTTAATAAGGAAAACGATAGGTGTCTCAAACTTAGGCAGTATAGATCATTTCTGTGGACAATGTTGTTGCCATTGGGCTAGAGGGCAGATTGATACAAATAAAAGGTTATAGTTACAAAGCCTGTGTTATTATTGAGCTCTTAGACATAAAATTGATTTGTACAGGAATTACATGCCTCTTTAGAAAGTTCAGGAAAGGCCAAGGCTTTACATAACTACATTTAAACCTCTGAAATTAATTTTAAGAGATACATAGACATCCTGCCCTCTCAGCTACAGTAGGGCAATTTCACCTTCACTTTTTCTTCATAAATGTCATTGCTCTTGCAACTAGTGAATGATGGCCATGTCACAAAAAATAGCTAGCAATCAGGTTTAATGATAAAATATAACAGGAAGCAATTTTTTAAAAATGTCAGACCAGTTATGAAACAAGTTTGTGACAAGGGGCTTCTCCTATCAGATTTTTGTTGCCCTCCATTTTTTCCATCAAGTGAACTATACAAACCTAATTAAAGTTTCATATATTAAAAAAGGTTAAATTTTGTTTGCTTTGCAAGTGGCAATTGTTTTTTGTTACTCATTTCAAATATTTTGAAGATGTGTTGTCACAGCAAGACGTCTGGGTTCCCTGCTAGTGCAGTAGAGCCTTTTCTGTTTTCTACTCTCATTTAATTTTTCCCCTCCCCTGAAAGAAGAGTGCTTCAGACTAAATCTTGGAGTCTGTGTTTAATGCCAGATGTATTTTGCATATATCTTGAGACTATTGTACTCAGTTTCTTACAGAGCCACTTCTGTTTCTATTCAGAGAGACAGAAACCTGTCCTGTGGACAAGAGTAAGGATTCCCTTTCCATCCATTCTCCATCTCCTAGGGGAAGTATTACATTCAGGTTCCTTGCTCAACTAAAGGATGCTTATTTATGCAAAGGAAAACATCATCAGTTTCTATTTCATCATAGTGGTAAAGGTGAAAGGTGATCTAAGAAGCTTTCAGTGGTGCAGTTGGAATTGGCTTTAATTCTGCTTGAAGACAAAACATGTATTTTTCCTTATCCCTGGGGTAGGAAATTCAGTTCTTCATCAAGAGCAGGAAAGGTCCTTAATGTTGGTGCCTGGAGACAGGACCTGGTGATGCTGCATGAAGTTTGGAAAAAGCTCTGGCTAGCAAAGGGAGACTGGAAGGGTTCACATAGCTCCTCAGCAGAGCTATAAGCTGGGCAGTGATTTCACAGGCTGTGGGTGAGGCCCAAAGTGCCTCTCTCCTCCCTCCCACCTTCTCAAACTGAGGCTGCTCTTGGGGTATGAACTGTCCTGGTGCCATGGAGGTGCAAGGATACTGAGGGTGGGAGCTGCTACTCACTCCCTTCTCTCTTTGAAGCAGCTAAGGAACTGCTGCTGACAATATCCCTACATACAGAATCCATTTTTTGTATTTACTGTGCTAGGACTCTTTCACTATGGCATTTTTGGAAACAGCTGGCATGATTTCCCAATTAAATATGTATCCATAATATTAATGGCCATGGCAGTGAAGCAGGGGATTTGCTTACATGGCATGTTGTGGGCTGCTGTGAGGAAAGCCACAGCATTTAAGCCTCAGGACAGGTTGGTGTTACAGTAACCTGGAAATTCCTTCTGTTCAGGATGCTCACAGCTCAGGCTGTCCTGCTCTGTGCCTGGGGAAGGCACAGCCCCTCAGCAGGGCTCACCATGTGGAGATGTGCCCCTCTCTGTTTTGTGTGCAGTGCTCTGTGAACTGCAGCGGAGGCTTCAAGACCCGAGATGTTCACTGCATTGATGTTGGGGAAAAGCGGCTGCTCAGGCCTTTCCACTGCCAGTTACTCGGCTATAAACCACAGCTCAGCACTCGCTGTAACACAGAACCTTGCTTGCAATGGCATGTGGAGCCCTGGAGTGAGGTACTGTTCCTTAAGAGAAGCTTTGTGAGTCAGCAGTCTGCTTTCAGGTAACAGCGGCTGTTGGATCCCGTGCTGTCAGGTAAAACTGTGCTCCAAGGAAGACATGCAGCTGGTGAGTTCTTGTGCATGGCTAGAGAAAAAATTAGTACAGGTGTTCATTATGCTTCACCAAATCATTCTTACAGCTGGAGCTTTAAATTACCATGTCCTGAAGGGGAGAAGCAGATGGCCTGGAAGAAAATTTGTTGTAGCTATCCTATTGGACCAGTAAATGTGGTTCATTTAGATGAATCCTTTTTGCTGCTGTTTTAATCTTGTGTTCTCATATGGCAAGTTTAGAATGTTCTTTACACTTTTGGACTGAACTTTTATGGAGCAAAGGCTTAGACCAGACATAAGATAAATCTGACTTTTGGTTCCCTTTGTAACGCAGATCTGTGCCAACCAACTCAGAGGCAGCCAGGCAAATATTTATGTCAGCTAAAGCATGTGGCCTGATTATATTTTAGAATTTAACCCCACTGAAAGCAGCTCTGGAGAACATGTGTGATGATATTTGATGATATTGTGGACCTAATGCATTGGAATTTTAAGGGAGGTGATCACATTTTCTTTACATTGCACTAACAAACCACACCTGGAGGAGACCAGGGTGTGCTGTCAGAGCAGTCAGCACAGGGAGAAAAATAAAAATATCTGAATGATTGCAATTGCTTGCCACTTAAAATACTTTATAAAAACACTAGTCCAACCCTGGAAGTTGCCCTGATGCTAAATACACTGGGTAGAAATGGATTGAAAGGGTTCGTTTATCAGATGTCACATATATTGTTCTGTCCTTAGGGGTGCAGTTCCTTGTAGGACAGTAACAATGCATTATTCAAAGTATATTTGATACCTTATTTCATTTCAGAGTATAAAATACTTCGTGTATTTCAAGCAGACTTTTTGAAAAAATAGTAAAAAAATTGGTGAATAAGTAATTCTAGAATTACTTATGACACAAGAATGTTTAAAAAATAACCTGGGTCTCTATCTTTGCATGACACTTTTACTGCCAAAGAGTTCAGTTGTTGTATGGATTGAATTTTAATGTTCCAAACCACCTCATAAGAAATGAGATGCTGCATCTTATGAATGTGTTGTGTCTTCCGTCAGTGTTACAGATTAATCCTGCTGACACGACTTCTACTCTAATTTTTGTTAGAGATGCTACCGGTGTTGGTGATGTTGATGGGCAGTTCTGTGTTGCCCGTTCTGTGTAGCCACTTCTACTCTGCCCTTTAGTCCTTCCAGCAGTGTGTGCCAGGAGCAGCTTTTCCCCATGTAGTAGCTTCTTTTCCTTCCAGGCACATGGAGTAAGTGCTTCAGTGCAGAGCTTTTCTTCATGTCTGCACTTTAGGACTTGATGTGCTGCAAGCCTGTGCATCTTTCTAAACCCATGGGCCTGTGACCATGAGTCCTTGTTATCTGTGGCCCCACATGTTCTAAATGAACCTTTGTGGTTTGTTTGTGGTTTCTCATGCTGTCCCACCCCTGGTGTGCCCCTCTCTCGGCAGTGTTCGAGGTCGTGCGGCGGTGGCCGGCAGCAGCGGCGCGTGTCCTGCCCTCGGGAGGGGCACTGTGACTGGAACAGGAGACCTGATCCCATGGCACCGTGTAACAGCCAGCCTTGCACTCAGTGGGTGCACCAGGCCTGGAGCCCGGTAGGATTCAGTTTATTTCTGGGCTTTTTTTGTCATGAGCTGGCCATATTTGGTCATGTTATCCATTTGTCTCTGAACCTCAGCATCTGTGGCAAGTACAGTTCCTTATGCACAACTGAAGCTGCAAGAGGAGAACTTCTGAAAACATTACTGAACATTTGATAGCCAGCTTATGTCCATTCCTTCAGGTGACAGATAATGTAGCTTCTGGTTTTTGTTGCTGTATTAGAAGTCATTGGAAGTCTGCCATCTTTTATCACGTCTAAGAACAAAGGAGTTTTACCATTAACATTCTTCCTCTGCACATTTGAAATATTCCACTGTTAGAGGCTATTGGAGGGGATCGAGTGATCCTCAAAACAGCTTTGGGGAATATTGTACTTGCCCACACAAAGAGAAATTCTGAATTTTGACCAACAGCCTCCTACATAGTACCTGGCAATCTTATTGAAAAATATGAGGTGTACCTTTGGGGAACCTTCCACTATCTGCTATACACATTTATCTATTGCTATACATATTTATCTATAAAGAAACTAGTATATCTAATAAACCTTTCCCTGCAGTTTCCTTAATAAACATTGCATACATTACAAGAACTCCTCACAGCATAATGAAATATTGAAGGAATGCTAAAAGAAGGAGCCACAGATCAGGAAACATTGGAGTCTCATTTAACACAGAAAATTCAATGAGTTGGTTTTGACGCAAAGCTATTAGATGGGATGTGACTATAATGTACTGTAGAGTCAGTGTAACACTTAAATATAGAAGTGAAGCACATAAAATAAGTAACAGAATACCAAAAGTTATAGCAACTATTTTACTTATTTATTAATTCCATATTGATGTATTCATTATTACTTTTACTTCATAAAAATATTTTAAACATCAATATAAAGTAGTTGCGAGAATGCCTAAGATCTTTCAGTCTACCTCATGCCAGTACTATTGTGCTTCATGTACAGAGATACACATTAGAAAGGGGATAATTTGCAGAAAAATTACAGAGGTTCCACTCCTGTCTTCATCTCTTGTGCTTCATTAGCTGACATTCTCTATCTTCTGAATTCTTTATCTCATTTATCTGCTGGCAGTATTTATCTGTAGAGAAAAAAACAAACAACTAATTGGCATTCTCAGGTGCTCTGGGAAGTCACAAGAATTAAGTACATTTACAGAATTATAAAGGAAGATATTTTAAAAGTGTTTGGGTTTTATGGCCTTCTGTGTGCAGTCAGAACAAGCAGCTGGCTTTTCTTTTGTGGATAAAGAAAGGGTAACCTCTGTTTAAAAGCCAGGAAAGAAACAAAACCTTGTTGGACTTTTTTTTAAAATCTTAGTTTGGTCATTTATAGACCTAACATTGCAGTTGGTTATTCGTGTTTAACTTATATAGTCAGAAAACACAGGAAGCAAAAACTGTCCTAATTTTTGTGAATTTGGTTTAAGTCTCTTCTATTGTAGGACTGGCGTTGCAAGTCATCCCTTTCCTCTGTAGAAAACAGTCCTTTCCCACTGTTTACACATTCCAAGATGCTGTATTTATACCATTTACCCTCTGCTGTATTCTGCCAAATCTGGCCAAAATGCACCACGGAGGTGTCTGGATGGAGCATACAGTACACAGATTACAGGAGTGGCATTGCTTCTGGGTCACAAGGCAGTTTTAGCTTTCTGTCACATTACAGAAACGGCTCAAATATTGCCATATTGCAAAATTTCCATGTAAAAAAAATTTATGTATGTTAAAATTACTCTTTCAGTGTGCTGTTTCTTGTGGAGGGGGCATTCAGCAAAGAACTGTGAAATGCATGAATACAGAAACTAATGAAACTGAAGATGATAGTATGTGTCTGGATAAAGCCAAGCCCACAAAATACCAGAAGTGCAATCTGCAAGAGTGCAGGAAAAATACAGGTAGAGTAATACACATGCATGAAAAATTTTTCTCCATTTCTGCTAAGATTCTGCAAAAACTGAGATCTGACTCTATCAGCTTCTTTTGAGTAGCATGGGCTCAGTAATTACAGATCACCCTGGCCTGCCACTGCTCAGTTGCTCTGTTGGCAGAACCACACTGTTGTCTCTTCCAGCACTTCTGGCCTTGTGTTGCCATGATGGGGAGCATGCATCCCTCATTTATGACACAACTAAATTAGTAGGTCTGATTGTATTTGCCTGTTTTAGGTAACTCAGGGTGCAGGGAGGATTGTGGAAGGACACACATTAAGTCCAAACAGTTTCCATTTCTTAAGATAGATCACTCCATGGAAGCTGTAAATTCTGGACTGGGAGTGCAAGCAAGCAAATTCTTACATACACTGTAAAAAAACACTTGTAAAGAAACCAGTGTCCCGTAGGACGAGACTGTCCAAAATCGATTGGTGAAGAGAAGTGCTCTTGTGAGTCAGGGTGTCCTGTACCTCTGTCCTTCAAAGGCCCAGGAGCTCAGCTATGTAAATTGTTAATAGCCCAAAAAAAGAGGCATCAGGGGAAGGGGGAAGCTTGCAGAAGGAATAATATCTTTATGAGCAGTGTGTGTACTGCTGCATCCAGGAGGTACCCTCAGATAAACAGCAACATCTCACAGCTCTTCTAGAAAAGCTTTCAAAAGCCTTTTGGAGCATGATCTTCCCTGTTAGTCAGTGCTAAGGGTCCAATTTGACAGTGAGACAATGGTTTGAATCTGGAGGGCAGTGTGGATCTGACATGCTCTTGAGAGTGATGCATCACTCCTGCTGCTGTTCAAAGAATTTTAGCACATGTTTTGCCCTGGGGTGGATTGGTCTGCTTATTTCCTGTCCCTCTCGTGTTCTGAGAGAAAAACTCAGATAAATACTGCCTACACACATTAGTAAGAGTAACTTCTGTGACTAAAAGTTCAAGTGGCCTGTAAAACGTAATAAATGCCCTACTGGGTAAGCACTGGTCCATGCAGCCCACCCTTATGTCTCCAACAATGGCATTAGAAAATGCAGCTTAGCAGGAATGCAGCAGGTTGGAGCTTTCCTGAGATTCATTTCCATGACAGTCCTCCAGCATTTCCAACTGACGTATATTAGGAATATTAAAAGTTCTCCATGTCGTGCCTTTTTATTTAAACTTTCATTAATATGTTGCAACTCTTTTTGGTGCTGTGGTCTGCTTCCACCCTCTCCTGTGGCAAGAAGTTCAAAAAATCATGGAATTGTCAAGGCTGGAAAAGACCCTCAAGACTATCCAGTCCAACCATCCACCCAGCTATGCCGCTGTAACCCCTGAGCCACTCAAACACATCACCCAGATCCAGATGCCTCTTGAACATCTCCAGGAATGGTGACTCCACCACCTCCCTGAGCAGCCTGTTCAATGCCTGACCATCCCAACAGTGAAAAAATGTTTTCTAAAGTTAATCTGAGCCTCCCCGGTCTCAGCTTTATGCCGTTTCCTCTTGTTCTCTCACTGTGGATGTGGCAAGATAGGCTGACCCCCACGTCACTGCAGCCTCCTCTCAGGTGACTGTACAGGCCTGCAGTCCCCTGGGTCATCCTTCTGACCCTCCCAGAGATGGGAATTACATTTGCTGACTTCCAGTCAGGAACTTCTCCAGTTAGCCAGGACTGCTGGTAGGAGATGGAGAGTGGTTTGGCAAGTTCTCTCACCAGTTTCCTCTTCACTCTGGGGTAGGTCCCATCTGGGCCCATAGACTTGTGAGTGTCTTAATTGGCAAAGCATGTCCCTAACCATCTCCTCCTGGGTTATGGAAGCTTCTTTCTGCTTCCCATCCCTAACTTCCAGCTCTGGGGGCTGGATATCCCGAGGACAGCCATTCTAGAGGTTCACAGCCTGGTGTGAAAAAAAAAAAAAACTTGCTTTGATCTGTTTTAAATTACCTTTATGCAAGTTTTCTTTGAGTTTCCCCATTGCAGTGTTGAGGGATTTGCTGGAGAACAACCTTGCTAATATATCATCTTCCTTCTTTTGCACACCTTGCCTTCTCACAGCTGAGGACCTCCAGTTTCTAATATCTGGCTAAATCTGGCCCAGCTCAGTCCCTCAGAGCTACCACAGACCCATCACCACGATGGTGCAGGCAGCAGCAGTCCCTGCCATGTTCTGATGCTGCAGGAATCAAGGCATAGCCAAGCTGAACATGCAGCTGCATGTGCATTGTCTGCACTCTCCTGCCTGCCCTGGCTGGCTGTGCAGCACCCTGCCAGCCCATCATGCTCATCTTAGAGGCAGTTAGTTACAAGAATGCAAAAGTACCAAATTCAAATCATTGTTGCCAGGCTTTCTCTGGCAGTCCTTATCAGCAGAAAAGTCAAAGTGGAAAACATAGATCAGCTGTGTCTGCCACAAAAGTAAAATCTCAGTGAACAGTCATATTTCCAAAACAGAAGGTCATGTGTTCACTAAAAGATCCTAGAATTTCAGTGGGAAGTCAAGCTGACCCTTAATACAAGGGAAGAGAAAGCCACCATGAATAACACCCTTAACAGACATGACCATCTGGCATAGAGCAGTTCAAAATTCTAGAAATACGGGGAGTGTGTCAGCAAAATGCAGCTAATTCTTGTCATCTTCTTCATTACAGGGCTGCCCTGCAGCAAAGACCAGCTGTCAGTTCACTTCTGCCAGAGGCTGAGAGGCATTGGCAAGTGCCTGCTGCCATCAATACAGACTCAGTGCTGCTTCACCTGTAGTCAGCCCCGAATTCGGAGCAAAGCAAGACATGGAGATCAGCACGGCTTCAAACAACAAAATTACACTAAATCTAGAAGTAAACCACCTCAAAACTAAGAAAACAACAATCAGGCAGCTTGGCACTAGCTGTTTATTCTTGTTTCCTTGAATAGAGCTTCTGTTTACAAGTTTTACCTTCCTTATTTTTTTCTGAACCATCCACCATAAATGGAAATCTGTGATTAAAACTGGGAAAGCACATCACCTAGGGTTATCAGTCATAATTTACTGCTTCCATTTTTTCTCTGTAATAGTCCAAAGTTTATAATGTAATTTTCAGTGTATCAGCAGCTAGTACTACTTAGGCATTCATAGACACTAGAAACAGGCTTGCAAGAATTTTCTGGTTTTTTTGTAATGAATGTTTAACTTGTTTTTCCATCTCTTTTCCAAAACCCACTTGAGACACCAGCACTGCTTACTCAAGAGTGCTTAGTGAAGGTGGCCCTTGGAGCAGCAGACACATACCTGTGCCATGGGCCAGTTCTCTTTATGCTCTCTTGCCTTTCGTTTTAGGAATCAAGGTGAAGTGGCAATGTTTCTCTAAATTCATTGCTCACTTAATAGACTTAAAAGCAGAGTTTTGTAATATCTGATTATGATAGGCAGGATGAATTCAAACTTGTTTTTTCAGGAGAAAAAAAATCTTTGCTTAGTACTTGACTGAACCTCTAAAGGATACCTCAGCCATAATCTGTTCTTGACAGTTTTCTTCTGCTACAAATGTCTTGCTGTAACCTGAGAAACCCATAAAATGTGGGATGTTAAGTTCTCAGATATTTTTTAAGCAGCATTTCTTGGTACCACAAAAGCTAAGACATCTGCATCTACCACCTTAACAGTCATAGAATAGTTTGGATTGGAAAAGATCTTTAAGATCAACAATTCCAGTGCTGCCAAGTCCATCACTAAACCACACCCCTAAGTGCCATATCTATATGGTTTTTTACACATTTAGGGGAAAATGAAGCAACGTCTTTTAGACAGTTTTATACATTCCATCTGATAGAATAATTTCAGTGTAAAGAAAAATTTGGTTTTGCAGATCTTTTGCTAGATAGGCAGTAACATTCTTATGTATCATCTGTAGTTCCTCTCCATTTAAAATTAACTGTCCAAGGCCATTTGAAATTGGATAAGGCAACCAGCTCAATGCTATTGCCAGTCTCTATAGCTGCAGGTATTCAGACACAAATGATACATGTCAGCATCACATAAACAGCTGTCAGGAAATTGGTGGAGCATAAAGGTTGTACCAGCTTGTTCTGCAGCAAAAATTTAACCTCAGAACTTACCCTTTGGAAGAGGTAGTGTTCTCTCTCTCTTGACTTCTCACTTCCACCAGTTTTATGTGAGTGATTAGCTCCATTTAGTTCGAGAGTGTTACAGCTGCTGAACAGAGAAGCAAGGAACTTTCACTGTAATGGTTTCCAGACTTTACAGCATAAAGAATAAAGGAGTCACACAGTGAGAAAGCAAAAGACTTCTAAGCTGATATAGGTAAGGACAATTGGAAGTTGAGTCTTTTGCATTTAAAAAGTCAAATCTTTCTCTTCTTTGACACATTAAAGGAAATAGCAGTGAGCTGGCCCAGCTAAACAGTTTTGCTAATTTCATGTTAACTTACGTGATGGAATTCAGCTTTACAGAGTTAAAACTTTCCTGCAGCTTCAAATGGAGCATGCAGGCATTTCAACAGGAAATTACCATACTACATTTTGAAATCAATTTTACACCATCAGCATAAAGGCCAGCTAGCAACTGGAAGCTGTGTAATTCACACAGATGTTCAGTGGCAGAGCTATCGTGCCATCCAGTATTTCCTGGTAGAGCATAAGCCCACGTTCACAGGAGCACTCTACCACCTCACTCACGGGACTTTTCCCACAGTGTAAATGCATAATCACAGTGGAGCTGAGGGCTCCTGGGGCAGCAGCCTGAGGCACAGAGTAGTGTCTGCAAACCTCAGGCCCCAGGCATGAGGGCACCCCTAGTCAAGTAGCAAATCTGTTTTGCTAGTGAAAAAAATGCCAAAACAAATTTCAGGGAACCAAGACCGAACCTTTTAAACAAAGCTGGGCATTTTGAAAAGAGTTGGACAAGAGTGGATATTTAGATTCCTTTGGAATTCAGTAGGATTTAGACACCTTGGTTCTTCTGGCTTTTTTGAAAATCTTCAGATTTGCACCCTACTTACCTTACAATTTCAGATTTTGTAGTACAGGGAAATGCACATTTTATGCAGTATATGGTGAGACACATAGTCCCAAATCCAAGTGTCACTGTGGTTACAGAACTGTGACTAGCAGTAGCTTTTTTTCTAGACAGACTTATGAAAGTTAATAGATGTATTTCAGCCTGGCTTTAATGTATTAACCTAGTGATGGCCACAAGTCAGATTTCAAAGGTTTGTGTCCTTTGGCTAAGGACTTATTTCTTCACTTGAAGGCTCTGGGAGTTCAAAATATGCAGCATGGTTAGATTTATTAACCTCTGTGATGGCAATATAACCCCAGTTTTAGGTGCTGATAAAACAAAATCCACTGTTAAAAGTGTGGTGCTAGGGTAACAGACATGGGGATGACTTGCAATGGTGCATGTGTGTGCATGCACACACTCTTACATTAATGTATGTCTGTGGTGTTGCTGGCCAATGCCAGACATGATGCTTTTTAAGTTTCACAGTTTGCTTCTCTCCTCCTGGGGACCCTTTGAGCAACAGAAACCTGGGCAGTTCTTACTCCTCTGGACATAGAAGTGTTGAATCATGCAGGAGCAGAGGTGTTGTCCTGATCCAGGAAGGATTTGGGCAGGCTTGGGCTGTGGATGTACAGCAGTTCTCTGACAGCCTGGCCTGGTGGGCAGTGCAGCTCCTCACATTCCCAAAAACATTCTGTAGGATTTGGGCAGGACAAAGCTCCGGGTCAGATTACTCTGTGCACAGAGGTACCTGCACAACATTTTACCCACAGAGGTCAGCAGAAGGAAGCCACCAGGAATTTGGCTTAATGAGAAAGGAGCTGACTGAATGGATGTGGTGCAGGTTGGAGGAAAATGCCTACAGGAGTTGTCCTTCCCAGTGCTTCTTAGGGCTACTGTGGAGTTAAACCATTTCTGCCTCCATTGTTTTCTTCAGGGAGCTGTTATTTCATTTGAAACGAATTAAAAGTGAATAAATTATATTATGGATATTAGTCAGAATAATCATTCTACCCAGGGAAACGCAGTCATTACTGTTTCTCAGCTTAAAACTTTAAGAAAAATACTGTGACAACATGAAGTGTTTAACAGAGCAGTGCCACTGCTATTATGACACAACTGTTCTTAAGTAAAGGTGGATTTATGATCTGAACCCAGATGGTCATTAGTCTCAAAACTGAATTGAATACTAACTGCAGAGGTGTATTATCATTATATTATTGTATTAGCCTGAGACACACATCAGCTTCAACAGAGTGCTCAGGAAAAAATGTGTATTTGTCACATTCACAGCTTGTTCTAACATTTCAAGGTTTAAAAAGCAAACTATGATGTCATATTTGTTTCAAGCTTCAATAAATGGCATTGCATATATTTGATGTCTCTGGTATTTTGTGTTTCCAGTGCAAGATTTGTATAATGGAATTTCCAGGAAAAAACTAAAACTTTAAAAATATATTTTATATGTCAGAGGTCCCATCACTGAGTTGTTTTGGTGCTTGATACTCCAGCATAAAAAAGATCATTACAATGGGTGAGAGGAAAAAAGTAGAAGAATACGGTGATAAGTAAAAATATACACTAAAAGGATTCATTAATTCCTATGAAATATAGGAAATCTTACCACTTCTAGGGGTTAAGCAGATATGTCTTAATTTTTTGGCAGCAGGTGAGATTGTCTGTTGTGTCTATTGAGGAGTTGTATATAATATTACCATGCCCTGTCCCCCCATCCTGAATCTCCTCAACACTCGAGTTTTGCCAGTCCTGCTGCTGCCCATGCCCAGAAGCTTGGTCAGACCAGCCCTGATCCTTGATGTGCTGCCCAGGAGCAGAGTTGGGCTCGGGCAGAGAGCGCCCTCAGCTCTCACTCTGTCCCCAAACCCCACCCCAGGCCTCCCTGCGTGGGCCCAGCCTCACAACAATACCCTGTGGAAGTCGCAGGATTTGCTCCTCCTTGCTTTGTGGCCTCCAGCCCCCAGGGGCAGCGCCCTGCACAGGGTGAGCTGATCTGAGGAGGGATGGAAGCTCCCTCTGCCTTCCCAGGTCCCCTTTTGTGTTCTGGAGGAGCCAGGGCTCAGCACAGCCTGGTGAGCAGATCCCGTGGGAGGCCCACAGCCCGCCTTGGCTTGACCCAGCAGCACTGTCACACAGGAATGTGGGGCTTTAGGGAAGTCCCTGCCTTTTGCCCAGGCCTCTGGCAGCAGGGAGCGGCTTTATTGAGGTGGCCAGCACCCCAAACCCACCCTCATTTGTGAGTTCATTAACAATGGCTGATTTGCTCTATTTATAGAATGGATTATTTATTTAATAGACACAAAGCTAACAGACATAAGAATTAAACCAAACTAATACTACACAGGAATAAGGACAAAAAGAGACTACTAGAAGGTAAATACAGAGTGAGGTTAACCTATCGATGTTACAGCTAGTGAAGAAATAATATAACTTAGGATTCAATGTATCTTACCACCCCATTGTTGGTGGAGCAAATATCAAGATCCTTTCCCTCAATCCCCAGGGAAGTAACCATGTGTCCAAACTCTGTGGAGAGGTCTCTCACACTTTCAGAGTGTGTGTGTAGAGGCCTTCTACCTCTGTGATAACTTGTGTGTCATTCATAGTTTGTAGAACAGGGTCTCTTAGTCAAGAATATTTCTTTTATCTCTTCCCACATTGGGTCTCCATACTAAGATGTTGATTCTTAGCTGAGGCCTGAGCCCTTTAGATGCCAGATGCCCCTTGCTGAGCCTTTCAGGCCAGGTCATCTCTTTATGCCCCAAATCTCTGGTGAGGGGACATCCTGCCACCAAAGGAACTGCGTGTTGGCTGCCCACATCAGCTCAAAATTAAACCAGCATGGTGACAGGATGAGGTAAGAGAAGGGGATTTCAGGTGGGGTACTCCAGACAGAGGTACTTGATGCAGCAGAACTGATAGTTTAATTTTGTAGATATAGAAATACGATACATTGCAGACTTAAGAGAGAGAAATTTCAGTCTTGCTGAATGTCCTGTCCTTGTATTCAGAGGATATTCAATTCCTGTCCTTGTATTCATGTATTCTCATGTTCCCTGGAGAACAGGAGTTGGTGCCAGACATCTCTTGGATTGGCTGATCTGACTGTGTTTCAGAATGGTGATTAACAAGGAACATGGTATATTGCTGCTGCCCAGCACAGCAGCCTCCCTAGCTCTTATGCCATCATAGAATATGGGGAGCTCAAATGAGGTGAGCTCATTTCTGCCGCCACTTATTTCTACCACTGATTGACCCCAACCTCCTCTTTTGTCTTTGGGACAAATGCATATACCTCCAGCACACTCACAGAACAAAACCTGGGACGTGTCAGCCAAGGAGTACAAGTTTCTCCTACAGATGCAGTAAGAATGAAGTAAGAATGAAAACAGCAGTAAAAATGAAAAATAGAGCAGGGAATGAAAAATAACCACAAGACCCTCAGAGAGGACACCCACAGTCTGTAAGCTCTGTCAGGGTTTTTAAAGGATTCTCTGGAAACCAAGGAGCTGCTAAATAACCTGGGCATCACTTGATGCCAACTTGGTATCACAAACTAATAAGAAAATATCAAGGTTCTTGAAGGCTTCTTTTAATTTACTGTTAGCATTATGAGTCATCAAGTTATCATTTGCTAGATAAAAGTTAAAGATTTGGGACAGAGGAAAATATTTTCCTGGTGGGATTGGATGTTTTAGAAGGCAGTCTTTTGCTATATCTCTGAAGTTACCTCTATCTCTGCCATGTTCAAAGCAGGTGACATGGTCTGGATTCAGTGATTCAGTGTCTTTGAGTGGGACCTGAGATATCAGAGAATGAATTGTAGAATCACAGAATGGTTTGGGTTGGAAGAAACCTTAAAGATGATCCAGTTTCAACACCCAGCTATGGCCAGGGACACCTTCCACTGGACTGGGTTGCTCTAAGCCCCAGCCAGTCAGGCCTTGAACACTGGGTTGCTCTAAGCGCCAACCAGTCAGGCCTTGAACACTGCCAGGGATGGGGCAGCCACAGCTTCTCTGGGCAGCCTGTGCCAGGGCCTTACCATCCTCACAGGGGAGAATTTCTTCCTAATATCTAATCTAAACCTACCTTTTATCAGTTTGGAGCCATTCCCCATTGTCTCGTCACATACTTTTACAAATAATCTCTTTCCATTGTTCTTGTCAGCTCCCTTCAGGTACTGGAAGGTCGCGATTAGGTCACCCCTAATCCTTTTCTTTTCCAGGCTGAACAACCCTGATTGTCTCAGCTTTTCCTCATAGCAGAGGTGCTCTATCACTCTAATAATCTTGGTGGCTCCTCTGTGCTGGCTGCAGCAGGTCCCTGTGGTTCCTGTGCTGGGAGCCCAGGGCTGGATGCAGTGCTCCAGGTGGGTCTCAGCAGAGCAGAGCAGAGGGGCAGAATCCCCTCCCTGCCCTGCTGCCCACGGGGCTCTGGGTGCAGCCCAGGACACGTTTGGCTCTCTGGGCTGGGAGTGCCATGGCTGGGCCATGTGCAGCCTCTCACCCCCAGTCTGGGCAGAGGGCACTGCAGTTTGCTCTGGGGCTGGTGATAAGGAAAGCTCCCACTTGCCACACTGGCATGGTTGAGTGATGGCA